TTAATGTACTGTATCTGGTACTTTAATACGCACTGGTACTTTAATAGACACAGTTGCCATCCTTGAAGGACTCCCAGTTGCCCTCACTTAGGGATAGTAACCCTTCTAAGGACACCTCAAATGGCAGCCACCAATTCCACATTTTGAGTTGTAGCAAGTCTACTACTTCAGCTGGACACAGTGGTTCATGCCTGTAAGCCCAGCTGTGCAGGAGGCATAGATAGGAAGATTGTCCTGGGTTGGACCTGGGCAAAAAAGCCAAGATACTATCTGAAAAATAACTAAAGCAAAGAAGGGCTGAGGGCGTGGCTCAAGAGATAGAGTGCCTGCTTAGCAAGTGTGAGGCCCTGAGTTCAAACCCCAGTACTCCCCCCACACACACCAAGAAAAGATTACTACTTCATAGGTAAATCATTCCCTTGTCACAGTTCTATGGACTCTGGAGTTAGGGGTCAGGGAGCAAGGGGGTTATCCTATGCAGTTGTTTCTGAACTTATTTTTTCAAGTGAAATCTTACCCAGAACACTGACCTATAAAATAAGTAAAATGAGTTGTGCTCCCAGTGTGGCTTTGCCTGCTGACTGCTCCCTGTTGCTTCCCTAAGGGACCTTTCTTCAGGTCCTTAGGACCCTCATTCCACAAATCAGCCAGCTCTGAAGATGAGAAAGCTTTTCCTGGTGTTGAACTTGTGGCTTCCTAGTTATTCCACATTCAGGCCCTTGGATGGCACAGTACAAACCCACTTTGTCTTTGTGAAAACCTGCAGATACTTGAAGAGTAGCCAGCGTCTCCTTTCCTATCCACGCCTCTGCTCCAGGATAAATCAGCCTCATGGCTTTGACCCTGTCTTCAGGTGGCACGCTTTCAAAGTTTCCATCAGGAAATTCTTAAGTTATTTCACTTCTTCTTCTACCCTGGAACCTGGAGGCAGAAACTGCCTTTAATGAGTTTAAAGTTGAGTTTTAATCCCTGCCGCATCCTTACTTTTTCCCTCTCACGCAAAACTTTTCAGCCTCTTTGAGAAAATCGTCATCACAGACAAAAAATAAAATAAAATAAAACAAAATTGTTGAAATCACCCTGGAAGTTGTCATTCCCATTCTAGGCCCCCGTCATACAGAAGCTCGTCCTCCCCGAGTCATGTACAGCCTGTCAGCAGCAGCCAGGCCTGCACTGCGCATTCTCCACTTAGCACCATGTTGGCAGATTGAGTTTCACAGGCTCACAGTGAACTCACTGCAGAGACTGCTTGGCGTCTGTGCGGAGCAGATGAAAGCAGCCTCAGAAGGGACGCTGCTTCTCTGGCACACGGGCAGAGCAGTGTATTCCTGCATGGCCCAGAGGGCTTCAGTCTCATTCAGCATCAAAGGCTCTGCCTTCTGGGAGGGGATGACGATGGGGCCATGCTAGACATTAAAGTGCAGCACGCATGGCGTCTGGCAAAGTCGATGTTTTGTGCCCTTTGATCTGGTGCTCCATCTTCTCTCCACTCGTTTAAGGTGACTGTCCTGTGGCCAATGGTGGTTTTTTAGGTTAGGACAGGGTATTCAGATCTCATTTGCATGTAATGTCATGAACTGTATGACACTGGAAAGTGTGAACTGGCGGTGCCACTCCAGCATTCTGCGTCTCGTCCTAGTCTACCGTCTGTGCAACAGATGACAAGTGTTAGGCCCACGCTCCTTTGCAAGTTGGATGTTATGAAGGATAGACAAGATGAAAGCTCCTGACCTCCGTATTGACAAGAGGAATTCCCAGGAATTCCTAACCTGGGACCTGTAGACACTTGGGGAATCTATGGCCAGCTTCTTTGGCTCCTTGAACAGTCAGAAATTAGGTGCACATTTTTGTGTTTGTGTGTAATTTCTTTTACAAAATCTTCTGGAGCTTTTTCAAGGCATTTAAGGCCAAATGGTGGTTAAGGATGGCTGAATAGAAGTTCCAAGATCCTGCAATTGTACTAATTGTACTAGATACATTTTTTAATTAGGACTTATTATGGCAGAGTTTTTTGTTGTTGTTGTTGTTAAGGAAGTTGCCTTGAAAAAGAAATCTCTGTGTTAAAGCAAGCCTGCAACCAAACATCATTTGGCCTTGGTCCTCTGATTTTATGACTAAATTGTGTGGAAAGACCAAAAGAAAACAGAAGAGTGCCACCTAGAGGCCGCAATAACAACTTCATAACATTCCCTACACAAGGGTCTTTAGCAACTTTTTAAATTGGAAACATTTTTTTTACTCATAAGTAATTGCAGACCATCATTATGGTTGACAGCGATGCTGAAGTTGTGGAATGCAGCCTCAGTACTCTGGAAACATGTGCTAATAAGACTTGGGATTGTAGATAGCATAGCCTCTTACAGGGCTGTAGAAATCGGTCTTTCAGAGCTACACTGCATTTGAATATACTTCTAATCACATAGCAAGACAAATTGATAGCTGATATAAAATCACTCCGATTTAGTGACTTTATTTACTTTTGAAGTTAGAATACACTAAAAATTAAGAAAAAAAAGTTTTGATGGAACTTGGGTTTGAACTCAGGGCTTCATGCTTCATGCAAAGCAGGCACTCTACTTCTTGAGCCACACCTCTAGTCCATTTTGGGGGAGAGGGGGGTTGGAGATGGGGTCTCTTGAACTCTTTGCCTGGGCTGGCCTTGAACCATAATCCTCCTAATCTTGGATAATCTTAGCTTGGATTATACACAGGTGCCACCAGCACCTGGCACAAGAAAAATTTATTTTAATTACTCTTAGTATTCCTTTCAAGACAGAGGTATAGAATGGTATGAACCAAATGATGCAAAAATTGCAGAGTTTGAATTCACCCTGAAAAAATAGATCAAACAGAACTTATATCTTCCAGAATACAACTAACATGGTAGTCAAGAGCATAGCTTTGAAGTTCCAGCTTCATCATTACTTTGCAGTTGAGTACTTTAACGGTTGGCAGTAGTGTCTGACTTAGAGTTGGTGTAAAGATTAAATGGAATAAAAGATTACATTTTCATAAATGTAATCTTTTTAAATTAAATAGCCAATAAATATTTATTTATTTTGGCAGTAACTGTTTTTGAACTCAGGACCATATGCTTGCTAGGCAAGAACTCTACCACTTGAGCCACATCCCCCAGCCCTTTTTGCTTTAGTTATTTGTTGTTTGTTTGGTTTTTTTGGTGGTTTGAACTCAGGGCCTCCATTTGCTAGGCAGGCCCTCTACCACTGCCACTGTGCAAACCCTTTTAGTTATGTTTTAAATATATTTTTTTGAGTAGAGTCTGGTGATTTTGCCCTGACTAGCCTGGACTCCTATAAAGCTAGGATTACAGGCATGAGCCACCATGCCCAGCAAAAGTTATTTGTGCATATATTTGGCATATATTCCTCAGATCCTGTTTTCGATATTGGGTATTATATGTTAGGTATGGCAGTAAGAAAGACATGGGCCTTATGCTGTGGCGGGGAGTTACACAATAAACAAATAAATATAGAAACAAGATTATTTCACAAATCATTTGTGTGAAGAAAATTCGTGTGGATAATGGAGAGTGATGGGAGGCCTGCCTTAGTTAAGGTGGTGAGGGAAGAGCTTTCCAGGGAAGTGACATTTAAGCTCTTACCTGACTGACAAGGAGGCAGCCTTGAGGGGATGTGAGGAGTGTCATGCCAGCTAAAGGAAGGAGCAAGTACAAAGGCCACTAGGGATAGAATTGCTACTGAGCATGTGCAAAGACTAGGCAAGGCCCTTAGGCCTGTGGATGTTTATACTGAGGATTATGGGAAGAGACTGTAGCATTTTATGCAAGGTAGTGATGGGCCAGACTTTTGCTTCTGAAAATTCCCTTTGGTTCTCTATGGAGAGTAGGATGTAATGAAAGAAGAATGGAAGCAAAAACAGCAGTTAGGAAACTTTTGCAGTCATCTAAGGAAGAGCTGATGGTGACTGAGATGAAGGCTTTGAATTGACGGTCAGGGATTTTGCCCCCCAATAGCTCTACAATATGTGGTCATTTGGCATTGTGGTTACGAGCACCAGGTAGAGAGTTAGACCATTGGTTTGAAAGCTGACTTGATAACCATGTGACAGTGGACTCCCTTTCTAAAATGGCAGTGGTGATCATACATTCCTCCTAAGATTGCTGCAGGGCTAACTGAGGTAGTAACAATTGACAGCACTTAGAAGAATGTGTTAGTACTGTGTCTTGTCATCATCCCCATCACCATCATACAACTACTGCTCCCCTGGGGTCCTCTGTGCAGTTTACAGATGAGAAAACAGAAATAGATGGTGCCTTTGAAATTGGGATGTAGTTTTCTTGGTTTTGAAACCTTTGTTCTCTCTGAAGTATTACCTGGGAGTATGAGTTCCCAGAGAGAAATACCTGTTGATCTGAATCTCACAGCCCAGACTAATGTACCTGTAATGTTTAATTAACATCGAGGAAGTTCTAAATAAGGCTAGCTGAATCCCAGTGTCTGGTGGAGGCAGCCTGTGCCTGTTCCTCTCTCCCTACACACTTTATGCCATCAGAAATTTCAAATTCCCTGAGTATTGAAGAGACATACTACAGACCTAAACCCATGATTAATATGCATGTAATAATATATAGGAAGATAGAACTGAATACTTTGAGAACCTTATAAGATACTAAATCTCTTTCAATGACATTGCACTCTTCATTTGGTATATTAAATTGGACCACACATGAAATAAATAAATGAAATACACAGATTATCCCCAGAATTTTCTGGCCAGACTTTTAGTGAAGGCATTGACCAGACTGCCACATTTGATTTTATTTTTTTCCATCTCTCTCTCTCTTCTTTGCCCACCCTCTCCTGGAGTAAGCATTGTAATAGATAAGGATCAAGGAATATGAGAGACAAAATAAGAAGCAGGTAGCTTGAGAACCTACTTGCTGGCCTTGCTTCTGGTGCCTCAGCTCCATCAGCGCCTCCCTCAGAAGAGACTGAAGGCAGGCTGTTTGTCTGTTGCAGAATGTGAGCACTTGATCCGTCACATGCTGGTGTTAGACCCAAATAAACGCCTCTCAATGGAGCAGATCTGCAAGCACAAGTGGATGAAGCTAGGAGATGCGGATCCCAACTTTGACAGGGTAAGCTGGCCACCCCAAGACTCAGGAAGGTCTTCTTAGAACTATTGCAGTTTCTTCTGCATTTGTCTCTTCTGCATGTGAGTGTAATCTGGCCATGGCCTGAACACATGGGCATGAGCAACCAGTATTGTGTATTACTAAAGCAGCAAGCAAATTAAGCAGGAAGAGCTGTAATAACCAGCTGACATTCTCTGTCAGAGAATGGTGATACTAGTTCCTTACCATTTGTCCCAAAATTGTAGTTTGTTTGGCTTTTGAGATGACAGCCCACAGTTCTGCAGCTCTGTCACCCATGGGCATGTCTCCTAGCTCTGGTTTTCATGTGCTTAGTTCAGTGGCATCTGTAGTATGTTTATTTTAAATCATTATAGCCATCCTAGGTAGCCCACGGAGCTCAGAGAATAGGGAGCCCTTGTCTTCTCACAGCTGATAATCAGTGCTGTCTTGCTTAGACTTTGTCTGAGACCCCCAAAGTGCTCAGCTAGGGGACATGGAACAGCTTGGTCATTATATATGCTATACCATACTGATGTAGGTAGTTGGGGGCCTGACAGCTTTGCCTCTTTTCATGTTACAGTTAATAGCTGAATGTCAGCAACTGAAGGAAGAAAGACAGATGGATCCCCTGAATGAGGATGTCCTTTTAGCCATGGAGGACATGGGACTGGACAAAGAGCGAACACTACAGGTATCTAGGAGGGCATGGAGAACAAAATGAGATGTAGCAGTCTTCTCTGTCTGCTTCTTCTATTTTCTCTCCTTTCTGAGAACGTGGGTCTTTTCACTTTCCTCCTTTTTCCTCTTCCTCTGCCCCTCCTGGGCCTGGGAAGGAAGGAAGGAAGCTGCTTTGGTCTTCCGCTGGTATTATGGAAAGGGTTTTGGTCATTGACATGCCATTTCATCAGGGTTTTTTACTTTTTCCCCTTCTCTCTTGGTAGTCATTAAGATCAGATGCCTATGATCACTATAGTGCAATCTACAGCCTGCTGTGTGATCGACATAAGAGACATAAAACCCTGCGTCTCGGAGCACTTCCTAGCATGCCCCGAGCCATGGCATTTCAAGCACCAGTCAATATCCAGGTGGGCAATATCTCCAATGACCTAGTTCAGGACAAGTAACACCAAGGGGTAAGGGTTAGCCATTGCTCACCAACCCCACATCAAGAAAGTTTCCTGTTTGTCCATACTCTGTCATCTCTTCCTGTGTCAGAGACCAATCAACATCTGCTCCTTTCTTTGACAGAGGACAGATGGCAACAAATAGTCTTTTTCCTTCTCTCTTCCTTTTTTTTAAGAAATAGCAAATCATTGGGAGATACTATCTCTAAAGATTGCTTCCTTACTGTGTCTTCTAAGAGCAGAGGAACCAAAGACTTTAGCAACCAAGACTACTTTGCAAAGCTATCATTATTTCCCTGTAATGTTTAAGGTATGTGTGTCCCCATATGTCCTGCTTTCCAGGCGGAGCCGGCAGGCACTGCTATGAATCTCAACGTCCCCCAGGTGCAGCTCATCAACCCAGAGAACCAAATTGTGGAGGCAAGTACCAACAACTGGTCGTTTTCAGCTCAAACCACTGTGTTTCCCGTGTCCACTCCTCTATTTCTAATCAGTTGTGTTTCGCTCCACCTCAGCCGGACGGAACCGTGAACTTGGACAGTGATGAGGGCGAAGAGCCTTCCCCTGAAGCCTTGGTCCGCTATCTGTCAATGAGGAGGCACACAGTGGGTGTGGCTGACCCCCGGTGAGTGCCTGGGCAACAGGCCCTGCCCACCACCCAAGCAAACAGTTCCCACCTGGCTTTCAGTAACTATCAGTCCACATTTTTCCTACTTCATGGTGTCCTCCAAATGAGCTCTAAATAAGGAGCCAAGACACTTGTTCAACACATCTCGGACCCTAGTGGGTCAGAACTGATTTAACTGAAATCTTACCAAGTGTTTCTGGTGGCTGGCGAGCTCTTAGGAACCATCTGCCAGTTAATGACAGTACTGCAGAGAGGACACTGATAGTACCTTTGCCCACAGGAGTGCAGTCGTCTGATTTGTTCACAGAGAATAGCCCTCAAAGTTCATCTAAGGTTTGAAAGCTTTTATTTATTTATTTTATTTTTATATTTTGGAAGTACTCAGGTTAGAACCCAGGAACTCATATTTGCTAGGCAGCTGCTCTACCACTTGAGCCACACCCCCCAGTCCTATTTTGCTTGAGTTATTTTTCTGATAGGATCTCACTTTTTTTTGCCTGTGATCCTCCTACCTATGCCTCCTGTGTAGCTGGGATGAGAGGTGTGCACCACCATGCCAAGCTTATTGTTGAGGTGGGGTCTCACTAACTTTTTGCCCTCCAACCACAAACCTCCTGATCCCACCTCCTGAGTATCTAGGATGACAGGCATAAGCCACTTGAGCCCAGCTAAAAGTTTGACAGCTTTTAGAGATGTTGTCTGCCACATGTTCTATTGCAAAATTCATCTAGGAAGGGGAGAAAAGTAATATGGTATAATTTATGTATGCATACAGTTAAAATGTAAGTGAGAAAGAATGTAAAAACACAGCAGTTTTCCCGAAGCTGTCTGTCTGTCATGGTGTTCCCCTATGCCCTTGCACTAGGAAAGTGGACTTAAGGCCTGTTTGTTCTGGAGTTGAAGACTCTGAGCATTGAAAATAGCCTACCCCATTGTTGAATGTTTTCTTCCCTGAGCAGAGAAGGTTGTGGTAAGACTTCTCTTGAGAGTTCAACTAGGAGCAAAGCTGGTTTTCATATGAACAACTCTTCTCTGAGTGGACTTCCAAAGAGGACTCCCATGCCTGTTCATTTGCTTGCTTTTCGTTTCTTGTTCTGGTTTATGATCGACCAGGCAAAGAAGAGAACATTCTTGCTCTGCAGAATGTGTCAGCTCTGAAGAGGTGGAGTCCTGAGTTGCTGTTAGTGGAAAGATCTCTAATTTTAAATTCTTCCGCAAAGCCTACTGCTGTAGGATGACAGCCCCGTACATCCAGTACTTATCTATCCTGTCAGTGCTGACAGGAATAATTGCATTCCTTCCCTGATGAATCACTCACTACTTCAGGCAGCCATTGTCTTAGTGCATAGCCTATGCGCTCTAGAAACTTGCTGTTCGCCTCCAGGCTTTGAAAACCTGAGCTGTACCCATGCCAGTGCTGCCTCTTGGCTCAGAGCTGCTGGTTTTACATCATGGTCAGTGAAGAGTAGCAACCTCTGGACCCAAGTAGTGAAATGGCCCAGAGTCAAATTCCACACATTAGACTTCTGCTTTGCTTTGGGATCTTAGAGAGAAAAACAAATTTAGGAAGAAAGTTAAAATAAATAAAATAAAAGTACCATACTGAGCATAGCAGTGCCAGCAGTCTGGGGATGTAAGCACTTCTGTGTAAGAATATTAACTGTACCTCTCTGTCTGCCTGTCTTCTATCAGCACGGAGGTGATGGACGATCTGCAGAAGCTCCTCCCCGGCTTTCCTGGTGTTAACCCACAGGCCCCATTCCTGCAGGTGGCCCCTAACGTGAACTTCATGCACAACCTGCTGCCCATGCAAAATTTGCAACCAACTGGGCAGCTTGAGTACAAGGTAACTGGACACGGGGGAGGACTTGTTCCAGAAGAGACAAACCTAAGCTTCCTTTGAGAGACTCTGAGGGTTTCCTTCTAGGGGAGGCTAATTTCCTTCTTGTAAAGCAGCTTGGGTGATGAGAGATTTCTCTAGTCCACATCTTAACCAAAGCATCCATTGATTTGAATAGAGGACTACTGTTTTATCCCCTATTTGACCGCCATCTCACCAGTGTATCCTGCCTGCTGTCCTGGCAGGAGCAGTCTCTGTTACAGCCACCCACCCTACAGCTGCTGAATGGAATGGGCCCCCTTGGCCGGAGGGCATCAGATGGAGGAGCCAACATCCAATTGCATGCCCAGCAACTGCTGAAGCGCCCACGGGGACCCTCTCCACTTGTCACCATGACACCAGTGAGTAGCAACAAAGAGACCAACTGACATTTTTAGGGGCTTTTGATATAGAGGCCATGGGTCTAACACTGGCAACCATCCTAAATGTCTGAATCTCCTCTTTCTCTAAACTTATGATGCTCAGTGTGTTCCCATTTTCTTTAGAATAATATAACTTCTCAGAGTTTATTTCTGACTGGCTTCTTCACTTCACCAGATCATTTCTACCCAGACCTTCTGGAGAGCCTCCTCCTCCAGGAGCCTCCAGGCCACTTAGGGCACCCTGGCTAAGTCTAGCTGCACTTCTGCTGCCTTGAGGCAGGTGGCAGTAGCCCAGCTTCAGCCTGCTTACGGAAAACTTCTCTGACCAAAGGCTGTTGAATCAAATTGTGCTTTCTGGAGTTAATTGCTTTTTAGACTGACTTCTAAAATGACCATTTCACTAACTCTTTGTTCAAACCTGAATCACTTGATTATTTGACTCTAGCCTAGTTGTTGGTGTCTCGCAGCCACATCATTTTTTGTGACGGCAGCACTCAAAGATCTTTTTTCCTTCCCTAGGTTCTGTTCATTTCTGGTTATTTTTCTGTCATAGGTCCCTCATTCATTCATGCATTCTCATAGTACCGTAAGATAGCACCCACCTTACGGTTAGTACCTAAGCTGTATCCATACCCCTTTCAAGATATTTAAGAGAGTGCTTCTTAAACTCTCTGTAGTTGAGGACTTCCCCTCCCCCCACTTCAGTGCATCATGGATTGATACTTTTGTAAAATACAGTAAAAGTCAATGATTGGAAGAATGAAAATACAAGTCTAAAGTTTTTATTTGATTCAACAGACAAAATCACCCCACTAAATTGTCATAAGTATGTCTAGAAGCTTACTTTTGATTTCTGTATTTAATCGTTTCATAAATTGGTAACAAAATGATGTGTGGACTGGCCTGAGTCCTTGGGCCACAAACCGTAGTCCAGGAAACAAGAATTATGCGTCATAGTTGTTGACATACTGAGTTTGTGATATGGGAAGACATGATCAACCGAGGAGAAGTATTTGAATTCTGGTAAAAGGCCATGTGTGATTAAGTGCCACAGTGAATAACATAGCCTGTTAGGTGGCAGAGGCATTCAGGGACAGGCAGGGTCAATATTGGTTAGGAAGGATTAGGAACAGCCCTATGGGAAGTGGGGTGACTTGCTCTGTCCACTGGATCTGTGTCTGCCAAGGTCACTAACAAGTTCTTGTTGATAAATCCAATGGACATTTTTAATCTTTATCTTTTTGGATGTCCCAACTCTATTAGTCATTGTTGACATTTTTTTCCCTTGAAATATTTTTTTTTTTTGGCTTCTGAGACAATATACTCCTTGTTTTCCTCCTGCCTGTCTTTTCCTTTCCAGGTTTCCTTTCTGCTTGTTCTTTGACGTTGACAAAGCCCAGAGTTTATCCTAGGCCCTGTTTTCATCTCACTTCACATACTGTCTGGACAAGCTTGTCCGCTACCGTAATTTCAGTCACCACTCAGGTGATTTTCCACTCAGGTGCTTGGTTGTACACATCTGTCTGTATGATTGCCTACTTGATAGATTTAGTACACACAATTTTCACTTGACACATCCCAAAACAAATTTGTCATGAGTCTGTGAAACTTGTTCTTCCCTTTGGGTATCAATGAATATCATTTTCCTCGTTGGTTACACAAGCCTGGAATGTGGATTTTTATCTTTAACTCTTCCCTCTCACTTATTTCCTCTATCAAATTAATTATATAACCTGCAAACTGAGTATCTTCTCTTCATTTCCACTGCCCTTTCCTTAACTTAGGGCACCATCATCCATTGCCCAGAGTAACAAAGGGTCTGCAAACTGGCAACTGGCTTCCTTGACTCCAGTCTTGTCCCTGATTCCCACCATCCTTTTTCACCCTGGAACTAAGCATAGCTAGATTTTTTTTTTTTGGGGGGGGTACTGGGGTTTGAACTCAGGGCCTTCACCTTGAGCCACTCTGCCAGCCCTTTTTGTGATGGGTTTTTTCAAGATAGGGTATCGTGAACTGTTTTGCCCAGGCTGGCTTCGAACTATGATCCCCCTGATCTCTGCCTCCTGAGTAGCTAGGATTACAGGCATGAGCCACTGGTGCCAGGCTAGATTTTTTTTTTTTTAAATATACATCTTGTGCTGGTGAAATGGCTCAAGTGGTAGAGTGCCTGCCTAGCAAGTGCATAGGCTCCCTGAGTTCAAACTCTAGTACCACAAATACAGATCTTACAACATCATGGTCCTGCTTAAAATCCTTTAGTGATTCACCACTGCCTTTCTCAAAATAAACTTCTTTGTGTGACATTCAACGCCATTTGTAACTAGTTAGTTTTCCTCTCCTGCCTCAGCTATAGCCAGCCACTTCCTGCCTAACTGTTCACCCTTACAGAACTATAGTAAAAGATCTGGAAACCTAGAAGTATTCAAATACTGGAATTACTCGAGAAATGTTTTTTGTTTTGTAATTATCATCTATGTTTTTCAAATGCCTTTTTGTAGCTGGGCACTGGTGGCTCATGCCTGTAATCCTAGCTACTCAGGAGGCAGAGATCAGGGGGATTGCAGTTTGAAGTTAGCCAGGGCAAATGGTTTGTGAGACTTTATCTCAGACATACCCACAAAAAAGGACTGGCAGAATGGCTCAAGCAGTAGAGTACCTGTCTAGCAAGTGTGAGGCCCTAAGATCAAACCCCATTACCACCAAAAAAAAAAAGCTATCAAGAATACCCAGCACTCACTCGGGGAGGGAACAGGCAGCTGCACGTGTGGTGCTTCTCGTTTCATTTATATGTTTAGTGGGTGATAACTAATTTAAAGCACTGAATTGCATTTATATGTTACGTGTGAAAGTATACTTTAAAAAATCATTAAACTTGGGAAATAACATGAGTATGAAATCACAGGTCAGTTTTCTTGACATTTCTAGATGGACAGTCTCCTCCTATATTTCTGAATCCTCAGACACCCACAGGCCTTCTCTTTTCTCGAAGCCTATGACCTTTTTCCTCTTTGCCTGGCTAGCTCCTGTGTACTCTTCACCTCAGATTAGGAGTTACCTCCTCCAGAATACCTTCCTTAATTCCCAGGCACCCTGTGTAGAGGACCCAGTCATACTTCTGTAATTATCTATTTACTTATCTCTATCCTCCATTAGACTATAAAATGAGGGCAAGGGCTATATGTATAAATTCAAATTTTATCCTGTAACATAGTAGGCATCCAGGTATTTGAATGAATGAAGATGAATAGAGGAAGAAATCCAAGTTAATATCACCTGAGCAAGCTGAAAATGGAAAAGTAGGTATATTAAAGTTCTGTGTAATTCAGAGGTTCTAGAAAAGTTTTGTAAACAAGAAAGTTAACAGAAAACCTAGCCCCAAGCCCAGTTACTAGAAGAAGGGGTGTTATAGAACAAGCTGCCACCTTGAGCTTTTCCTTCCTGTCTCTCTGCAGGCAGTGCCAGCAGTTACCCCTGTGGACGAGGAGAGCTCGGATGGGGAGCCAGATCAGGAGGCTGTGCAGAGGTAATGTGGCATCCGCCAGTGCTTGCAGAGCGTCCTTGGGCAGGCCCCCCGCCACCAACGAAAGGTCACGTCTGCCCAAGGCGGTGGTACAGTGCAGCTTCAACATTTGTGTGGTCTCTTTGCTCAAGCCAGATGGCATGTTCCTCCCCACATGGAAGTAACAGAAGACTACCCAGAAAATTTCATTTCTGTAAGCGCCATTGGAAGTCCCCTAAGTGACAGCAATAACCATAAGAACTTTCTGTCCTCCCTCCTTCCTTCCTTGCCCCCCTGCCTTCATATTGCAACTCTGATAGTATTCACAAGGCACAAAGCCTGCTCCTACCTGCCAAGAACTGTTTACTCAAAAGGAATTGGAAATTTGAGATGACAGTGATCCTGGCTAGTCTGGCCATGGACCTCTGGCATGGACTCTTCCTTTCCAGGAGGATGAATGAATACCTCTTGTACTGTTTGCTGTGTGTTTCTTCCACTCCCTTGTACCAACAAAGATATTGAGAAAAAAAGAATATGGGATGCGGGCCAGGCACAGATGTAAATATCCATTGTTTGCAGAACCTTGTTGAGAGATGCCTAACTCACAGAGAACAGCAGTGACCTCCAGGCATGCTATACTGTTCATTTGACCTCAGTTCCATTAGCCCTGGTTTTCAGCTACACGCATGCCCCTTGTGGGACTTGTCTTTCTTATTTTCTGGGGAGGGGGTTTTACCAGAATCCAGCATGTATTTTTCCCACAAACACAGGTGTTCTTCAAAATTATATGTTTTCTCTCGAGGGAAGTTGAAATAAAATGGTTTTCATGGGCTCTTGGGGAAACTTTGGATGTCTTTATCAAATGGGTATTAAATGATCGATGGCTTACTCTTTGGCAACTTTACATATCACTAATTACAGTCTGTTAACTGATTTTAGCTTAAATGGGCAAGGTAGTTAGTAATGAAACAAGACCGTTTTTTAAGAACCTTATGGTTGCTGGCCAGGACTGTCTTCCTACTCCTAGGAGCTCTGTATGAGAGCTGCTATTCAAAAAAAAGCTGGTTTCATGTGGGAAGAAAACCATGGTGAACAGGGGTGTTGGCAGGTGGGCCAGCTCCTGCTACAGCTTAGCCAATAGAGGGAAAATCATGGTGACTTTTCTTTGCCTTCACACTGTTGTTTCCATAGTTTGCTTTTAACAGGGCGCATAAGGTTACACATAGGACCTACTGGTATTGGGAAGAAATGAGAAATAAGTAGACTTTCTGCCTTCTCACAATGAAAGGGGCAGCAACATTTTATTTTATCTTCTATGTCTTAGACTTTACTTTCTCCAGCTTTTCCTTCTTCTTTAAAGGGTAGCATGCCCGTTGGTTTTGATGGAATGGCAATGAATAATGCTCAAGAAGAGCAGCAGTGGCGAGGAAGCCATCAGCCAGATGAAAGAGACTGGCATGGTGTTGATTAAGTGTGGGCCTGGACGAGCTTCAGGGTAAAAGTCACCAGCTTGTGACTCTTGGGCTTGGGAAACTCTTCCGTTTTCTTGCCTTGTCTTTTTCCCTAAAAACAATTCTGAACATTACACATGGTTTTATTTCTTCATCCTGTACAGAATGTCGGTCCCCTGGGGACAACATCAGTGTTTCTTCTCTGATGGCTGAGTTATAATCACAGGGCATGAAAGAAGAAGTGGTTCTGGAACTCACTTATCCCCAAATGAAAGGGTCTTCTTTCTGTGACATGCAGTAAAGACAGCCTCAAAACCTGGGGCCCACAGGACTGAGAGACGGATCGTAGTTCTTTTGAATGTCCCCGCTTGGCTCATCTCTGAAAGTAGGCCTTAGAACTCATTTCCTCTGACTGTGTTTTGGAAATTTGGAGGGAAATTAACATGTAGAAAACACATTCTTCTTTTGAGTAGAATGAAGTAAAGAAAGTTAATCCATCTTTGTGAGCTAGATCCACTTTCTCTTCTCTTCAATGGGCTGCTCTTAGGTTCAAAATTCAGCCACTTCAGTGTTAAACCAACTTTGTTGGCCAGTTAGGCCTGTGTTGCTTCCATCCACTCAGGGATCTGTTTGCCATGGAGCCCTTTTGGAGCTCTGGCACTGTTTCATTGAGAGCTTTGGTTAACTTCTGTTGCTTCTTATGGAGGAATATTCCTGTCTGTCTTTTTTACTGTGAAATGTGCTCCTGCTTGTTGCAGGTACTTGGCAAATAGGTCCAAAAGACATACACTGGCCATGACCAACCCTACAGCTGAGATCCCGCCGGAGCTGCAGCGGCAGCTAGGACAGCAGGCTTTCCGTCCCCGGGTCTGGCCTCCTCACCTGGCACCTGATCAGCATCGGTGAGTAGCACATGGCAGCGTGACCTCCTTGAGGCTCATTGGACAGGCACCCTTCTGACTAGTCTCCCAGTGATGGTGACTAGCTCTAAGTAGAAGCCAGCTGTCTTCCTGAACTTAATCTTCTCAGTCCGGGTGCTAAGCAACACACAGGGCAAAGGTTTTCTACTGGGCCCTGGAACAATACCAGGTTCTTCTTTCCCGTTACCTTGCAGACCTGTTTATTGTCTGCAGTGATTCCCGTGATTCTAGATGTTGAGTCATAGATGAATTGAACTTGAGACCTTCAAGGAAGTAAAGCTCTCAGAAGACGACTGGAAACAAGAGGGTTTGTAGCAGTATCAATAGACTTGAACTTTAATAATTCATCATCTTCAAAAGAGTGAGCACTTCCTATCATGTTACCCCGAGGAACAGCTTGGATATGAGGAAGTCACATCCCTGGGGAATGGCAGAGCAGGGTTGCTCCATCCTCTTGAGTGGGTGCCTAGAAGGCATTCTTCCAGTACTCTAATGGTAAAATCTTTTGCTAGATTTCTTTTACATTTACAATTCATTTTCTGGAAGAAAACATCATTGAATCCATGTTAACTTGGCAATGAAGAAATGAAATTTGGCTAGAGTAAAAAGATGATTGTCCTCTGTGAATACCTTGATGATAGAAGTCTCAGCTATGTCCATTCTGAAGCTGTCTCTGAGCTCACGGGCCACACTTTCCAAGTCACCATCAATTGCTTGAGCTTATTTCATTTCACTTTTTGGGGGGTTTAGTGAAATCAGTCTTACTTGGGAAGGGTGAAAAGTAGTCAGATTCCAAGGAAGTTGGGTCTGTATGTGTGTCGTCATGAAAGCTTGCAACCAGCTCACACTGCCAAGCTTGCTACAGTGTTTTTATTGTGCTGCTTACACACTGGGCATCGGGTAATCATCAGAGACAGGTGAACTCTGAGCAGACCCAGAAATAATTAGTGCCACGTTGGAACTCAACAAAAGAAGATAAGCTTTTATAAATGACTGAATCATTTAGAAAAAATGATCTATTAGCTGTAGCAAGAATGAAGATTCTCAAGTAAAACCGATAACACAGAAAGACAGTTTTTTCAAATGAAAATCTCTCAGGATCTCCATTGTTAGTACACATCAAAGAGCACTTTGATGATTGTCGGGAGCTGCCTTCTCCCCTGTCATTCCTTGAGACTTCTACTAACTTTGGACTCTACACTCATGCCTAAAAGATGCTTATTTTCTTCTCATCTCCATCTTTCCTTCCTCTATTCTGACACTTGGTTTGTCTGCCCTTGTCAGGGTCTTTTGTTCAGCTTACATCATCTGAGTTTCTGCACTTAGTTGTCAGTGGTCCTCAAGAGTTTCTCTTTCAGAGAAACATACTCGGCACACTTCCAATAAGCCTTGGTCACAGACCCTATATTCTATTGACATCTATTGCTAAAGGAAGACTGTGTTGGCCCACAACTCTATATGATACCCATCCTGCCTGTAATAATTGTCAAGGCTTTGCCTGCTAGAAATCTGTCTGCTGTCTGTTTCCATGTGAACACTCTTGGTAGTATTTCAAAGGTTTCTGTGGCCAAGGCAGTTTGAATCAGAAGCAAACAAATGCTTTCTAAGTGGCAGGTTGCGTACGATGGGGCATTTGTGTAAACCCAGAATGTCTTGATGGGGTCACTGTACAAATATGCAACACAAGAGATTGAAGCTAGTCTTCAGGGCAAAAGAGAAACTTCCCAAAGCCTTAAAAATACTGAAAATGGATGGCCTAGATACGTTATTAAATTCCTTTCATTTTTTGGAGAAAATGATTAAAGAAGAGCATATATTCTTATTCTTTTGGGGTATAACTAGGTGAAGTCTCCTATGGAGACAGAAGAGGGGTTCTGATCAACCATTTTATTCCTGGAAGTGTATGATTTAAATTTTTTTAAAAAAATTTAAAGTGTAACTAAGAAAAATTAAAACAAGATGGATTCTATCCAGTTGGGGAACCAGGTCTCTGTTTGGAGAGTGTAGTGGACATTTAGCCAAATGTGAGGTGTCTTGAGTTTGCACGTGATTGCTAATAAAAATTAAATCAAGCACAATTGCTACTAACAGTGCTTCTAAAATGCGCGACTCCCTTGAACTGCTCCTCTGAAGTCACAGTGTTGGGCTGACCTGGGCATTCATCTCTTTACAACCTGAACTTCTGAAAAAGTCATGAACTACCTGGACCTGGGATGTTTTGCTGTGATGGGAGAGAATGGTTTTTGTGCAGAAAGACTATACTGACTGCTTGAAGAACATAGCTTGAATGAGTCAGAAATGTGTCCATTTCCTGAAAATATTGAAAACATAGGAGTCAAATTTTAGAGAAAATTATATGTGCTTGCTTCAACTGAAAAAAAAAAATCTGAAGCAGAGACAGAAAAAATAAGTTTTGAGATCATGCTCCTGAAATCAGCTTTCATGATCACTGTTTCTGGATTGTGTACCTGCAAGTCATTTGTCTTTGGTGTTATTGAAACAAGTATGTATCCATGCTCACTTCATCAGTGCACTACTCTGTCAAGTTTCAGGTAAAGTCTGAAACAGAAAAGAGGCTAAAGGGCTTTCACCTGCTGCCAGAATTCTCTTGACATCTCTGCATAGTCATCATTTTCCTCAGTCCTTCCCTGTCGACTTTGTATTTGAACTTGATTGTTAACCTGCTTCCTTAGCTATGGCTCTGCTTCAGTCCAGAATGATCACTGGCAAGCTGATCCATCATTTTATCCATAGCTCAGTGTAATGTTGTCTCTGCCCTGGATATGCAGCCCTGACCCTTTCCATCAGCTACTGGAATGCTGCCTTGGCAGTCTTTTATCTGCTTGCCCCAACTCATAAACATCTCTCACGTCTCTCTGATTAGGTCACAAGTATAGGTGTTAGCTTCTAGCCCTGATGCCATCTTAGGCATTCCTTATAGATAACTTGTTCTTGCTTTTTGTAAGATGCTGTCTGTGTTCTGATTGGGGGTGGGGGTCTGCGAAGGTAACACATATGGTGATCCTGTCAGTGGAGGCTGGGTGGGTGCTGCTGCCCTGAGAAGTTAGCATTCACGGTAGGAAACTTCATTTGTGTTCACAAGATACGTGCAGGATCTTGAGGCCCACATTTCTGAAGAATGTGCCGTCTCCATCCTGGGATCAGAAGTCCCCATTTCCACACCAACCTCCACCCTCCCTTTTCTAGCACAGAACTGTGAGTTCCGGGCCAGACCTTTGACCACAGTGCTGACTGTAGTTTTGCTGTGGTTCTTATAGAGAGGTTACTACGGAGAAAACAGTAGTCACACTGGGGATTTTAGATTTCTAAAGGCACCAGGTAGAGACATGATGCCAAAAACTGAGCTCCTGGCGGTATTGAGGAACTTCCATCTGCTGTAGTGTACTTACAAGAACTGGATGTAGGTAATCCCATGACCTCTCCAGGCCTGGAAAGTAGACCAACCGAAGGTAAGCGGAGCCAGAAAATGAGTACCTGGATCCCTCTAAAGGGAAGCAGGCTAGGGAAGCAACCGTCCACTGGAAGTGGCATAAATGCAGAGCTATACATGCAGCCAGCCATCTTTGTGTCGTCTGGAACAGCAGTCCCTATGTGATTTGGTCACAACCCTGAGCCCTAGCCCTAACCTTCTCTTCCCGTGTATTCAGCTCCACCTACAAGGACTCCAACACCCTGCACCTCCCCACGGAGCGCTTCTCCCCTGTGCGCCGGTTCTCAGATGGGGCTGCAAGCATCCAGGCCTTCAAAGCTCACCTGGAAAAACTGAGCAACAACAGCAGCATCAAACAGTTGCAGCAGGTAATGGGAGAGACGGCAGGCCTCTCTGGAGAGCTTGGGTGCCAGAGGCCAGTGTTGCAGGAGGACCGGGGTGCTGAGCTTTCTACCCTCTTCATGGCAGGGACCCTGCAGTTCTATGGCTTAAAAAGTACAGCTTTCTAGTGCTTTCTCCTGACTTCTTGCTATGTGCAGCTCTCCCCAGGATCAAACTTGCTTCCCCAGGGAAGGGACTAAACTTTTCTCCCATTTCTATGGGCTCATTGGAAGGGAATTTCTGAGCTTGGATTTCAGTGGGAAGTACCAGGGGAGGTACTTCTCTCTCTCTCTCTTTTTTTTTTCCCTTGCCCATACTGAGATTTGAACTCAGAGCCTCATGCTTGTCAGGCAGACACACTATCAGTTGAGCCAAACCTGCAGCCCTTTTTGTTTTAGTGGGGTTTTAAAATACAGTTTCATATTTATGCCCAGGCAAGCCTGGACCGTGATCCTCCTGTTAATATCTCCTGCATAGCTTAGATGATGGCCACATGCCACCATGCCCAACTTTTATTTGTTGAAATGGAGTCTAGCGAACTTTTTGCTCAGGCTGGCCTCAAACCTCAATCCCCTTGGTCTCTGCCTCTCTAGTAGCTGGGATTATAGGCATGAGCCCCGTGCCCAGCTCAGGGAAGTTACTTGTAAGCAACCCTGGCACTCCCCTTTCTATATAGGCCACTGGGTCTAAGTAGAACCTGCCCTACCTGAGCACACTCTCTAGTTAGTACGGAATGGTGCTCCCCCCCAGTGGTAGGAATTGTACTTCCAGGCTTCTGTGAAGGGCCAGTTTCCTTACCGCCTTCCTGATCATTGAGCTTCAAGTGTCATGTGCTTTGCACACAGATTCCACACTGTGGTGTTTTCCCATTCATTCGCACAGAACAGAGTGTGAGGATAATTAGTACACAGATACCTGTATAAATTGCTCATCTTTTTCTCTTGCGGCTCTTTTGCCCATGAGGCCTTGGGGCAGATCTGCGTCTGCTGAGCTCACTGCATGGGGTGGGCTTGGCTGCATCCCATCTGTATTAACTGCTTTCCCTTCAGGAGTGTGAGCAGCTGCAGAAGATGTACGGGGGGCAGATTGATGAAAGAACCCTGGAGAAGACCCAGCAGCAGCACGTGCTATACCAGCAAGAGCAGCACCAACAAATTCTCCAGCAGCAAATTCAAGTAGGCCCTCCCTCTTTGATTTCTCCAGCTTGCTTGGAGTTTGCTCTCAGGCTGATTTGCCTGTGCATTTTGGAGAACACTCAGGGCAAAGTGAAGTTGAGTTACATTTATGGTTGACATATCTCAGTAAAGGTAACCAGACCCTTTGATGAACAACTGAAGCATAAATCTGAGTCACAGATAGTTCTTCCTGTTTCTTCCCTTCCTAAGAATAGCTCTAATTAATCTTCAAGCTTATAATTATTCTTTTCCTCCCCTCCCCCCCCATGTATGTTTTAGGATTCTATCTGTCCTCCTCAGCCTTCCCCACCTCTTCAGGCTACATGTGAAAATCAGCCAGCCCTCCTCACTCATCAGCTCCAGAGGTAATGATCACTTTGTGTTCTGCTGAAGTCATTGGCTCAATAGCAGGGTATCCTTGACCTGACTGATAGGAGAAATTGACCAACTTTACCATTCATTTTGGAGGAATCTACTTAAAAATCAGAGAAATCAGTTGAAAGTTAGGGAGTCTGCCTGAAGTTTTGACTTCCTGTGCCACTTCATTTTTTAGCTCCATGAACAATGTAATCTGACATCTACCACAGGAAACCAGACACAGGTCCACAGTGAATTCTGCCTCTATGGCAAGAAAGACTGGTAAAACAGATGTGGCTAAGATTTAATTCAACTGTGGTAGATGGCTTATGTGTGGTTTTCTACCATGGTAGCTTATCAAAACTTTAAAAAAAAGAAAAAAGAAGTTTCTGCTTGTGTGTATTGTATGAAACTTAACTCAAGATGGTCTGTCACCTCTGGAAATTTCTTTACTTACCCATTTTGTCATTTTTAAGGTTAAGGATTCAGCCTTCAAGCCCACCCCCCAACAACCCCAACAACCATCTCTTCAGGCAACCAAGTAATAGTCCTCCTCCCATGAACAGTACCATGATCCAGTCTCACGGTGAGTGGAAGGTCCAGACTGAACCATTATATGCCACATAGGGAAAATGCCTGTCTTAGTCTTTTTGGTTTGCTATTTTTTTTGTTTGGTTTTATTTTTTCTTGTTTTGTTTTAGTATCTTAGCCTTTAGCCTTAGGTGCCATGAACCATTTGAAAGGCAAAATAACAAAGTTTTTAGGGGTGTGGCCTATAATTTGAATCCTGGTTTCAACCAATTTCTTGGTTGTGAAACTTTAGGTAAATTCCTTAATTTCTGTATACCTCAGCTTTCTCAATGATAAATAGTAGGTGAATACATGTATGTAAAGTACTTGGAATAGTCTCTAACACAGCATAAATCAACTGCTACTAGATTTTTCCTAAAATCCTCTCCAACCCTACCAAACAGGCTGCAGCTGGAACCTCCCTGTGTCCCCTCTGTTTGATTCTCCACAGTGCATGTGGGAATCCTCTTGTTCAGATGGAGATGAAGTAATTAGACTCTGGTTAGTGTGAGTCTTCAGAGACTACCACACAATCTAGATCTCTTGTCAGTCTCTCTCAGCATCCTTGAGAAGCCTCTGAATTGGCCTGTAGGCCTTTCCTACTCAAAGTGGGGTCTTTGGACTATCAGCATCGGCAGGCAAACTAGAATCTGAGGTTCCATTCCAGAGCAACTAAATCAGAATGTACATTTTAATCAGATCCTCAAGGCTGTTTGTATGGACATTTAAAGTTTGAGAAGCACATTTAAACTTTGTGAGCTATTCAGATATCATCCATGGACCAGCTTTCAGAGGAACTTGTTGGAAATACCAATTCTTGGGGATCCACCCTGACCTACAAAGTCATACTTGTGTGGGTAGGACCTGGGAATGTGTTTTTCAACAAGTTCAGTCTTATGTAACTAAAGTTTGAGACTTCGAGATGCTATCTCCTTCTAGACGTGAATCTCCTCATGGCTCCCTTACTTCCAGCTGGCAGGTAAGCCAGGCACTTGGTAACTGTGGGGTCCCTTTCTCTCCAGGTGCTGCATCCCCCTCCCAGTTTCAAGGCTTACCCTCCCGCAGTGCAATCTTCCAGCAGCAGCCTGAGAATTGTTCCCCTCCTCCCACCATGGCACTAACCTGCTTGGGCATGCAGCAGCCTACCCAGTCACAGCAGGTGACCATCCAAGTGCAAGAGCCAGTTGACATGCTCAGCACCATGCCGGGAGCAGCTGCAGGCTCCACTGGGAGAGGCATCTCCATCAGCCCCAGTGCCAGCCAGATTCAAATGCAGCACCGTGCCAACCTTATGGCCACCTTCAGCTATGGGCACCCACCCCTGTCCAAGCAGCTGAGTGCCGACAGTGCAGAGGCCCACAGGTAAGGCTGCCCTATGGCACCCAGCCCTCTATCCAGATGGTTCAGGTGTGAGGAAGCCCCTTAGCAGGGTGAGCAAAGAGAATGGGTCTGACTAGGCTGTGCTCTTGTTTCACCCTTTCTGAAAGTAGGGTAGTGGATTTAGGATGAGCCTGTAAACTATTTATGGACCCAGGATTAAAATGCTAAGGAGACAGGAGGAAAATGGCAAGACGTTTTACCTGATGGCTGGGAAAGGAGGAAAGGCCTATTAGGGAGTGTGTAAGAACTCCAGTTTCCCTGGTGTATTCCTCTAAGATTCTTTCCTTCTCTTCTAAGAGATTGGTGCCTCTTAATAGTTCAGATGATGTTCCTAGATAGGCCAGGTTGCTGTCTTCAAGGTAATTATGTTCCCGGTGCCTTTAGAGTTCCCTTGGAGTATTCGAATAAGTGAGTAAGGGACGTGTAGGAGTGTTGCACACATTCCCCACTTCCCTGTCACACCCCAGTTCTCTGGACTGCTAAGAAAAGAGTAGTGGGGAAGTCTAGAGCACTTGTTACACACATGCCTGGTACTCACTCCCTTTTGTGTCTGCAGCTTGAACGTGAATCGGTTCTCCCCTGCTAACTACGACCAGGCGCATTTACACCCCCATCTGTTTTCGGACCAGTCCCGGGGTTCCCCCAGCAGCTACAGCCCTTCAACAGGAGTGGGGTTCCCTCCAACCCAAGCCCTGAAAGTCCCTCCACTTGACCAATTCCCCACCTTCCCTCCCAGTGCACACCAGCAGCCGCCACACTACACCACATCGGCACTACAGCAGGCCCTGCTGTCCCCCACACCGCCAGACTATACCAGACACCAGCAGGTACCCCACATCCTTCAAGGACTGCTCTCTCCCCGGCATTCGCTCACCGGCCACTCGGACATTCGACTGCCCCCAGCAGAGTTTGCACAGCTCATTAAAAGGCAGCAGCAGCAGCAACGGCAGCAGCAGCAGCAGCAGCAGCAGCAGCAAGAGTATCAAGAATTGTTCAGGCACATGAACCAAGGGGATGCTGGGAGCCTGGCTCCTAGCCTCGGGGGACAGAGTATGACAGAACGCCAGGCTTTATCTTATCAAAATGCTGACTCGTATCACCACCACACCAGCCCCCAGCATCTCCTACAGATCAGGGCGCAACAATGTATCTCACAGGTGTCCTTGCCCACCCCGTCCCACGGGTGTGCTCATCAGCCGGCACTGATGCATTCAGAGAGCATGGAAGAGGACTGCTTGTGTGAAGGGGCCAAGGACGGCTTTCCAGACAGCAAGAGCTCAAATACGTTGACCAAAAGTTGCCACAACAGCCCTCTGCTCTTGAGTACCGGTGTACCGGGGGACCCTGAATCTTTGCTAGGAACTGTGAGTCATGCCCAGGAATTGGGGATGCATCCCTACGGACATCAACCTACTGCTGCGTTCAGTAGAAATAAGGTGCCCAGTCGAGGTAAGAGTCCCCTCAAAGTAAAGTCTGGGCCAGCCTGCCCTAATTCAAGTGACTCAGTACTGTTAGCTTCTTTCAGCTCATACTCTATTCTTAAGAGAAAAGAACACCTTCCGGACCACTGTGGGGAGGAGCACATAGGAAGTGGTTATTGGTGGGCAAGGGTCTGTTTTCCAGATAAAATGATAGAGATAGACAATCAACACCCGGGAGAATCAACACCCAGGAGAGTCAGTAAGATACGTTATCTGTTTCCCCCATTCGTATCATGGCTTCTTGAAATCCAGAAATTCCCGACTGTCATCACAACAGCTGCTGCAGTAGAAAGGAAGTCAGCTAGCTCTAAGAAAATTAGTGTGGATAGTGTTGGACCAAGAGTCAAAGCACCTTATTCCTGGTGCTTATTTCCTGTCTTCAGTCATGCCTACATGCGTATGATAATCTCATCATTTAAGCCATTCGAGTGTCATTTTCCTCATCTGCGGGAAAGGGGCAGGAGGCGTAATGGTCCTTAGCAGAGTTGGTGAAGATTCAAGCATATTTGTGTTTCTTCAGAATGTTTGTGTGGGAAAGAAAAAGGGAGAAGCCCTTGTTAATCTGAAATATGTGATGTAATTGTATCAGTATGAGGTATTACCATGAGCTAAATACAGACTATCACAGTATCACAAGGGGCCCCTGTGCTGTTTCATTTTGTATCACTTGATTATCAGTGAGTACATTGCTTTCATTTTCATCCAAGGAGGAGAGGGCTGCTATCAGGAGGTTATTCTCAGACATGTAGTTCCATTAGCATCGTAGCATTTGTCCTAACAATACCAGGAATGACAGCCACCTCAGCATAGCCATCAAGAGAATGAAGATGCATCTGTCACCCGTGCAGCAGTGGCCACCTTTTCTGTCCTTCCCTCCCTGAAGCTACCTGCGTTTCCTGCCCTGCCCTTTAAAACACACTCAGTTCTCAGGGAACCACACCCTACAGCACGAGCTGGTTAGAAGACCTTGTGCTGATGCAGGTTATATGAAAAAGACCTGGCTTTCAGGTGTGCTCATATGTGCTCTGATAGGATGGAAATGCCATTGTATAAAGCACCACCTGGGGTGGAGCTGTGGCTCAGGTGGTAGAGCACCTGACCAGTAGGGACAAAGTCCTGAGTTCAAACCCCAATACCGTAAAAGAAAACAAAACAAAACAAAACACCAATTAGGCCCTGGGCTTTCAGAACCGGTCATATGTGGGATGGCAGACAGACCTGGGATTATTTCAGGTTGGTTGGAAACAACTAAGAAGAAACAGATGGAAGAGAGGTTAGATTTTTCTGGGTTCATATTATGGGGCAGAACCAACGTCGGGATAGAATTTGCAACAAATTTCAGCTTCTCATGGAAAGCCTTTATGTGGACTTTACAGAACAGGCTGCCCCAGCCTCTGGAGACTTCCTGATGCTGGGCACATTCTAGCAGAGGTGGGGTGGCCCTGTAGGGCACGCTGTGGAGAAGGTTCATGTGCGCACCAGAGCTTCCAGCAGGTCGGCAAACTAGCAGGCACGAAAAGAACACCTAACGTGTCCATTGTGCCTTCCTGTGCCACACAGCAAATGCTCTCCATACATAAATGCACTTCGTCCTTTTTTGTGGTGCCAGATCAAACCAAGGACCGCACGTGTGCTAGGCAGGCACTCCTTACCACTGAGCTGCACCCCTAGCCCCCATTTAATCCTTACGGCGACCCATTCTCCCCATTTGACCAATGAAACACCTGAAGCATAGAGATACATAGCTTGCCCCAAGGCAAGAGCTAGCGAGTGGTGGTTGACCAATTACCGAGTCCATGCAGACAGCTTGGTACTGGGCATTCCCCACAGTGCCAGGCACTGAAGAAGGAGCAAACCCAGAGCAAATAGTGCCTCACTCTTCATCCCTCCCCAGCCCCGGCTGCCATGTATTGAAACACTTTCAGGGGCTAGGGGCATGGCTCAAGTGGTAGAGAACTTACCTAGCATTTACAAAGCCCTGGTGTTTGATCCCAAGAACCTCAAAAAAGAAAGAAAGAGAGGGAGAGGAGAAGGGGAGGGAGGAAAAAAGTAACACTTGAGTACCTTTTGTTTGTGGAGGGAGGGAGGAAGAGGAAGGAGAGAGGGAGGGAAGGAAGGACAGGTGGACTTAAATACCTTTTGAAGTGAAGAGTTATTTTCTCGTCACTTTCCCCGTGTACAGAAAGACTGGAGAGCTCAGAGTCCCCATTGCCTCCTAAGTGTCGGAGGAAACTCCTTGGCAGCCCCAGCAGCAGGCAGGCTGTGCTGAGTGCAGGTTCTGCAATAGCACCCAGAGTGGGAGAAGAATCGCATTTGGATTAGGGGAGAGCATGAGGAAGTAACAGTGGGGGAGAATGGCTCAGGAAGCTTGGAGGCTGGTGAACAGGCTTGGTTAGTTTGGGGGTATGGTGTATATGAAGGAATTAGAAGCCAAGGAGGGCGATTTTTCTAAAATGTAGAGTATTGCCTAGGTTCAGCTGCAGCATGCCACAAGGACAGTGACACGCTGCTCAGCATTCCTGACAATTAGCACAGTTTTAGAGTGATTCCCAGGTTGTCACTGGTCCCAGTCAGATTCCTTCATTCAAGTCAAAGGGCTTCACAGATTTCTTTTGTCAAGTCTGCCCTGCTTCTTCCTCTAGTGACTGACCACCATTACTCCTCTTCTCCTTACATTCTTCATCACCATGACTGCCTTTATCCCCTGCAAATAATTCTTTTGGCTTCTGGGAGTCACTTCATAAAGTGTATCCCTAGCAAAGTGTGGTATAACACTTGTAATCCCAGCTACTCAGGAGGCAGAGGTAGGAGGATTGCTAGTTCAAGGCCAGCCCAGGTCAAAAAAATGCAAAAAACAAAACAAAACAAAATCCACAAGGGTTGTTTCAAGTGATAGAACTCTTGCATGTACAAAGCCCTGGGTTCAATCCCCAGTACCACACGCACGCCGCACAAGTGTATCCCTGAAGGTTTCAGTCCAAGGCTGCTCTGGCCTTGTATGTAGCCTTGTTTCCAGTTTTGCTGGGTTCCCCCACCACTACCCTTTTTTTTCATTGATCTTTTCCCTCTGGCCTTTGATGAGAGTTTCTTAGGAGCTAGAACCTTCACTCCTGCTGTGTTTGCCAGCACACTGTGGAGACAAGTTGCCTTCCTTTCTAGCCAGTTTATTCTCGTGTATTCTTTAGCCTGGCCACAGATAGGGCTTGAGCAGTGTTCACTTGTTCTCTGTCTCTCTCTGAGTTTGCTATGCAGCCCAAACTGGCCTCAAATTCAAAATCCTCCTGCCTCAGTCTTACAAGTGCTGGGACTGCAGCTGTGTGCCATCATACCTATCTCACATGTCTTCCTTTGTTGTGACTTTGGAAACCACATTGGCAGTTGCCTTTAACAAATAAAGCAATGTACATATGATGGTGGAAGTTTAGGATGCAGTGCAGGGTGGGACATTGATGGTCTTGGGAAACCCAGTGCATGCTACTCAGGATAGTTAAAAATTCCCCCGGGTTGTACACCTCTGTATGTTTAGAGTGATTTCTTTATGGGGGCGTCCCCACTGACCTACCTGAAATGAGTGTACTGAGTGACCGAGGGACTGTCATGTGGCCTCTCTTCCATTCGTTCGTCTGTGTAATGAAGGGTGTTGCACTGAATGCCCTAGGAGAAGCAGCATGGAATTCATGTGTGTAGCAGTCGTGCTCCATGCTTGGTGCTTCTGACTCAGTTATTTATTTTTTATACCTGCCCTGGGAAGTATACGTGAAGTTCCTCTTTTATAGTGGAAACTACTTCCACCTGACCTGTAACTTTAAAACCCTCAGATTGTGATCTTCCTGCCCCAGCCTCCTGAGTGCTGGGGTTATAGACATGCAGCACCATGACCAGCTACGTTTGTACTTTACCACAGAATTTTCACAGATCATTTGCCATCACTTTTGCCACAAAAAGATTATGCTGTCCACCACCACCCTGCAGGCAGGTACGGGATCGCCTCTTGTTTTTCTGTTCAGACAGAAAAACTGCTGCTTCCTTTAATGATCCTCCATGTCTGTGCATATACTCACTGGTCCCCACACAGTCAACTGTTAATTTATCACTGTTTATTAAATTACTCTTGCACAAGACTGTATTCTAGGTGCCAGTTGTGAGTGCAGAGAAGAAAAGATAAAGGTCCCACCCTCAGGGGAGGTTCTGCTCTCCTGGGGGAAGCAAACCATCTCAGGCTGAGCTGTAGCTTCAAGTGCTGTGTGATGATCAAATTAAAAAGTTCACAGCTCACCTGGCCTTTCTAAAGGGTTTTTTTTTTGGTTTTTGGGTGGTTTTTTTGGTGGTACTGGGGTTTGAACGTGTGTCTTCACACTTGCTTAGGCAGGTGCTTTACCACTTAAGCCACTCCACCAGCTGGTTTTTTTTTGTGTGTTGGGTTTTTTCAAAATAGGGTTTCTTGAACTATTTGCCTGAGCTGGCTTTGAACTGCAAGCCTCCTGATCTCTGTCTCCCGAGTAGCTAGGATTATAGGCATGAGCCACCAGCACCTGGTAAACTTTTTTTTTTTGGTGGGACTGGAGTTTGAACTCAGGGCCTTGAGCTTGCAAAACAGGTGCTCTGCCACTTGAGGCACACCTCCTACAGCCTCTTAAGGGCAGATGGACAGAGATAGTTGGTGCTACTCAAGACAGCTTAGATGCCCTCGTGTCATCGTCTGTGGTTTCTTGTTTCCTGAATAGCTGTTTGCCATCAGCCTGGAGGCTGGGTATTGCCAAGCACTGAGCAGGCAGCTTGGCCAATGTTTCTTTCAAACACACAGACGCTTCAGAAACGACCCTGTGGTGCCTAGAATTTTCCTGCCTGACCCTCTAGAAAAAAATAAGGTTTTTCCATTGGTGGTGCTTGGTTAGTGGTGTTTTATTGTTGGTGGTGGTCGTTTGTTTGTGTTTTTGTGGGTTTTGTTGTTGTTGTTTGAGTTCTGGGGTTTGAACTCAGGGCCTCGAACTTGTTAGGCAGGCTCTCTTCCACTTGAGTCACTCTACCAACCCCGAAGTAAAAATAAGGTTTGTCTTCCTTCCGTACTCTTACATTTTTTTTTTGACTTTGCAAATAAATAAATACAACAGCACAACCAGTTTACACAGTGAGATTAACAACTTGAATTCATAAAGAAAACCACATCCTTTTCTCTGAGCTCAGCCAGCTTCAGCCTTACTACTCCAGGCCTCTCAGAGGGCCATGGTGCTGGTGGCCTGGAGGAGTTAGGGCTTAGCCCTCGCAGAGCCTTTAAAAGGAAGATGCAAACTTGTTATTTCTCCCATTTACTCTTAAAACCCAGTAAATGAGTAAGGATGAGTCAACACTGACAGGTTGAATCGAGTTGTTCAAGCTGCCCCCGCTGGTCCCAGCAGGTGGGTGGTGTGCATTGGGCTCGTTTGTGCATTTTCCCCTTGTCTGATGAGACTGCCTTCCTACCCTCTGAACCTCTCAGCTTTGCTTTGGTAAATACTTGCACATCGGGCTCTTGGAAGTCACCTTCCCTGCATTATTTATATATCCTTCTAGCTCCCGGAGTGATGTAAAGGGTGCCAAAGAGTCGCTTCCCTTGGTCAGTGGGTCAGTCTACTCACCCCTCCCCCCCAGCTGGTCAGTAGGTCTCATCTAGAGTGTCACAAAGGACCTCCAGATACAGGCTTAGAATTCCTAAGGAATAATCCTTACTTGTGGAATCCTTCACATTTTATCAAAGAGCCTTTCACTTGTGCTGTCTTTTTTGAGCCCTCAAGCAACCCTCATTTTTCAGACAGGAAACCTTTGGGGAAGTAGAGGTTAAATGACCTACCCATGTTTGGATACTCTGGATGATGGAGCTGGATCCAACCTGAAATTTCCTGATTCTTTGGTCTTCCTTTATGCTTCTGTGACAAAATACCTGAGAAAATCAACTTCCAAGGAGAAAAGATTTAGTTTGGCTGGGTGCAGGTGCCTCATGCCTATAATCCTAGTTACTTGGGATGCTGAAATTGGGAGGATCAATATTTGAGGCCAGCCCAGGCCAAAAAAGATAGACCCATTTCCAAAAAAATAACCAGAGCACAAGGGACTGGAGATGTGGCCTAAGTGGTAGAATGCCTGATTAGCAAGTACAAACCCCTTAGTTCAAATGTTAGTCCCACCAAAAACAAAAAGGTTGTAGGACTCCAGAAAACGAATGAAGGTGCTAAATGCCAAGAACAAGGACTAATATATTTTGTTAGCTTCACCACCTCCCCATGTTTGCTAATGAACCTTTTATTTTGGGGTGGTAGTACTAGGATTTGAACTCACAACCTCAGGCTTGCTGAGCAGGTGCTTTACTACTTTAGTCATGCCTCCAGCCCAAATCATACTGATCCTTTAAAAAAAAAATCTCTAAACAAGAGCCGGGTGGGGTGTAGTTTTAGGTACTCGGGAGGCAGAGATCTAGGAATCAAGATTTGAGGCCAGCCCCAGGAAAATTTTGCAAGACCCCTCTCTTCTCAAGCAATGAAAAGCTGATTGTGGTGGGGCACACCTATTATCTCAGCTGTATGGGAAGGGTAAATAGGAGGGTTAGGTCCAGGCCTGCCAGGGTATACACATGACGCCATATTTGAAAAATAACCAAAGCGAAAAAAGGGCTGAGCATGTGGCTGAAGTGGTAGAGCACCTGCCTACAAAACACAAGGTCCTGAGATCAAACCCCAGGACTGCAAAAAGAAAAAAAATCTCTGAACAGGAGATTCTGGTGTTTCTCTTTGAGGGAAGCAAGGAGGTGCACCTGCTCTGATAAGATTTGTAGCTAACTCTATGCAGGTTTAAAGGAAGAAAGACTCCCAAGGAAGTGAGTGGATGTTTTTAACTCTTGACAAGAATGTAGGGCTCAGTGGTGGAGCAATGGCTGAGGCCCTCAGTTCCATTCCCAGCACCAAGGGTGGGGTGAGGGGAAGATGAAGAGAATGTAGGCATAGTAAAACTTTGAGCCAGGTGCGTGGTGCATACCTGTAATCTCAGCACTCTGGAAGCAGAAGAGGGGAGATGATGAGTTCAAAGCCAGCCTGGCTACATAGTGAGAGCTTGTCTCAAAAAAAAGAAAGAAAGAAAAGATAGGATACCAGTGGCCATCTTTAAAAAAAGAAAATACTTTGAAAAAGTCCAAAGCTGCTTCTGGTTCTGCATCTTGGCTGAGTGGACAGGACAGCAGCTCCTGCCCCACAGAGCCAGTGTCGCACCGCTTCCTGCCAGTGGTTTACCTGGGCCCTGGCCCACTGACAGAAACTGGCTGAGTGGACAAGATGGTTGAGCTAGTCCCACAGAAAGAGGAGGTTTTCTTGTGCAGGCTTACCTTTGTCTTCTCCCTGCTGGCTTTCAGCCCTCGGTAGCAAAAAGTTGGCGTCTGCCTTTTTCTTTAACCTGCTCACTCAGAGACAATCAAAAGATTCCTCAAACCTTCATCTTTGGTAGTTAGGAAGCCCCACCTCCCCCTTCTAATTCTTCCCCTGAACGTCTCACCTTCCTAGTGACGTGTGTCACTTACTTCCCACCCCTTCTCATCCTACCTCATCCTACCTTAGCCCCTAAGCCTGAGCCTGGGGGCTCATAGGAAGCCATTTGAATATAGAGACCTAAAACCCTTCACTCAACACCCAGGCAATGTGCTTACTTTCATCGTTCAACTAGATACTGGAATGGCACAGTTAGCTAATTTAGCCCATTTAAAAGTTTTTAAGCCAGGCACTGGTGGCTCACACCTGTAATCCTAACTACTCTGGAGGCAGTAATCAAGAGGATCGTGGTTCAAAGCCAACCAGGGCAAATAGTTCGAGAGACCCTGTCTTGAAAAAACCCTTCACAAAAAAAGGGCTGGTGGAGTGGGTCAAGGTGTAGGCCCTGAGTTCAAGCCCTAGCACCACACACACAAAAATGTTTTTTAAAAGGCTGGAGGCATGGCTCAGGCCGTAGAGCGCCTACTTTAGCAAGCATGAAGCCCCAAGTTCAAACTCCAGTACTGCCAAAAAAAAAAGTTTTTAAAAACTTGATCTCACCAAGGGTTGGTTCATCAGGAGAGAGAGTCTAATAGTTTCCAAGGAGTTTTACCTCAAAAAAACCAACAAAGCAAGCAGAACATATGGTCAGCTCTCAAGCCCTAAAGACTGAAGCCAAAAGTGCTACCAGAGGATCCTGCCAACTTAGCTATGTCCCGTCACTCTTCTTGACTGACCTGATCAGAAAAAATACTCACTTCTCTCCAAACTCTAGGCCATAGGAGTATGTGACTCAGACAGGATGCCAACCCATATTAAAAGAGCATTTTTATTAACATCGGTTAAAGAGATGATATTAAATGCCTGCTGGGAGTAGGACTATTCTGGAGTACCGAAGACTCACAGGTGGGAATCAGATACAGTTCTTGCCCGCAAAGAGCTTCCCATATATCAGGAATGATTAAGACAAGTACACGATTAAACATGGTGCCAGGTAACGTCAGAGCAATTGGATACCAAGTCTTCTGAAGTTTAAAAGGAGAATCATTTGATTTCTGCTTGAAAGAGAAAGTTTCATAAAGATGAAAGAAAACATTTGAGGAGTACCGAGAAGGATGAGTTGGTTTGGACTGGCAAGAACAGAGATAAGAGAATGAGGTATTTCCAGGCAGAGGGGACGAGGACAGATATGGACTGTGTGTGGCAGGATTGTGTGTGCATAGGACTGTGAGTGTGTGGGGAGTGAAGAGTGAGAGGCCGACTGGAAGACAGACAGGATGGGGGGTGTTGTGAAAGAAAGTGTGAGGTCTTCTTAGAGTAATCTCTGCAGCGGTGTGGTTGGGGGATGGTTACCTAATAATCCAGCCAAGAGGTAAAGGGGCCTCAGTGAGATTGCAAAGAAGGGGACTGAAGTATCCTCATTCCACAGGTAGATTCTTTAGACTTTAAACTGTTGTAGGACCAGGACTAAGGAATCAGTAGTAACCCCAAGAGCTTATACCAAGAAGATTAAGAAAATGAGGCATCAAAACAGGGGTGTCTTTAGGAGTAACCGGGTATCGGGGAGATTGAGGAACTTGGAATTGGACATGGTGAGTGTTACATGCTGGTTAGATATCCAAGGAAAGCTGTCTAGTAAACAGCTGGATGTATGGGTCAGTGTAATTGAAACTGTGGAATTAGACAATGGAAATGTGCTTGCTTATAAAGGGTGGGGGCCACAGGAGTTGGAAGCAGCAATTTGGGAAGTAGAACGAGGAGAGGAGTGGGATGGTTCTGAGGTGGAAACCAAGGAAGGACAGAGGAGGCATCTGTAGAATGGGGCAGGGGACAGGGGAGGGGGCACGTCCTCCCATGCGAGTGGCACCTGACAGCACAGTCATTCCTCTGTGCATCTCGGTTTGAGAACATAGCCAGTTAAGTCTGCAGAGAGTTGAAGAAAGAAGGAAAGGGTCCGTGTTACCCAGTCAACCTCCGTTCTGTGGGATTTTTTTCTTAGGGTGTGGTCCCTTCATGAAGAAACTCCAATTTGCTGGAGGACTTGGGATTGTCAGGCTGCTCCCAGCTGCTCTGAGTACAAGTTCCAGCCGGCTGAGGATTATCAGCCAGTGCACATACGGTCCTCAGCTTGCTCATTGTCCCTTGCAAGGTCTCTCATTTCTTTCATGGGAGCTGACATTACTAGGAGAAGCTGGAGGCCTGCTGACCCTGTCCTGCTCTGTCTCCTCAGAATCTGTCATAGGAAACTGCATGGACAGAAGTTCTCCAGGACAAGCGATGGAGGATCACAGCGGGCTTGGGTGTCCAGCACGGCTGTCAGTCAGTGAGCATCACAGGCCCCGGACCCTCCAGAGACACCACACGATCCAGAACAGCGATGATGCTTACGTATGTTGGTCCCTCTTGCCAGTCCCAGCTTGAAAACAAAGCATAGTAATGTGGGTGGCATCTGCTCCTCACTCAGTCCAGCACCTCTGGGAATTACAGGAGCTTTTCTTCGAATCACCCTAACAGAGCAGCCTTCATTCCAATAGGGCCTATGGTCCATGTTTTAGACTGAGGAACCAGAAAGAGTTGCCTTTTGCAGTCTTGATTGGTAAACCTCCCCCCCGTCAGTCTAAACTCGGTTCCCAGCAGAGGAACCTGTGACTCTTGGCCTGTTAGTTGCAGCTTCATGACTTCCTCAGGGAGCAGAGTCTTGTCATCCAGGGCACACTGCTCAGGTGACACAGATAGGGCACCCTTGGCTCTGCAAGTATAAACTTACTGAAGTTGCATAAAATACCATACTTGTCACCTCTTGTGCTCAGTAGCCTCCATATTATGCAGGGCAGCTAGAGAACTGTTTAGCGTGGAGTGTGGTGGACCAGTGCTGTCTGAAGACCGGCTCCTAGGGGCTGACAGAGTGGCTCAAGTGGTAGAGTGCCTGCCTATCAAGTGTTAGGCCCAGAGTTCAAACCCCAGTACCACCAAAGAAATACACTGCTGTACCCATTGATGACAGGCTCCTAGTAGTGAGGGGTTCAGGAGGCTGCCTTCCAGACATGTACGCATCAAGGGGACAAACTCCAGCTGAGATGCACCAGGCCCTCCCACCCCTGTGGGATGGGGGTGCTGAGAGTATCCCCCTGAGCTGGTGCTGTTAAGAGGAAAGGAGTCTGCAGTGGGACCCAGGCCACCTTTTGCCTGGGCTCTTAGATAGGAACAGTTGTCCCCAAGGGTCACCTGAGGGTAGCACATTCTCTGGTGTCCTTATTTCTTTTCCTGATTGCTTTCTGCAGGTACAGCTGGATAACTTGCCAGGAATGAGTCTCGTGGCTGGGAAGGCGCTGAGTTCAGCCCGGATGTCAGATGCAGTTCTCAGTCAGTCTTCACTCATGGGCAGTCAGCAGTTTCGGGATGGGGCAAATGAGGGTAAGGGACCTCATGCATGGTCACCCGGGGAACGTTATAGAGGGGGCCCTCCTTCCGTCTTTGCCAGGGACCTCTCCCCTCTTGTGTGGAAAGGATCCATTGGGAGGCAGAGCCATGCGTGCTTGTGGGGCTCTGGCATAGCTCCCTCGCCCGTGTATGCCTCGTGTGAGTGCGGAAGACGGCCTGGATTCTGGCTGAGCATGGGGCCGGCACAGTCCCATGTGTGGTGCTGCCCTTGCTCTAGTGGGACACTTAATACCTTAGAACCAGTCAACTATAAGGCCTAGGCCTGGGGAAGGACCAGTCCGCAGCCCACACATTTGACATGCTGGATTCCCAGGTCCTCCTCATCTGTACAAAGGCAGAAACAGTAGCACCTGTATCCTTAGCATGTGTGGTGAGAGATGCTGGCTTCCTGTAGTGGAGGCTCTTCTCCCACATACAGCAGTGCTTGTACTTGAGGGTGGGAACAGGGAAAGGACAAGGGAAGTGGAACACTGGAAAGAGTCAGGAAGAACCCTGCCCCAGTGCAGCCACTCACAACTAGAGGACCTGCGTGAGCTACAGTCAGAATGTTCAGTACTCAGACAGGTGCCTCTTCCTCCTCTGTGTCTTCCGCTTGCCTGCCCACCCCCTGCCCCTGGCTCCCTGCCAATCTCGCACACTCTTTTGTGGTCTTGTAGAATGCGGTGTGAGTCTGGGAGGTCACGAGCACCTGGACCTAAGTGAAGGCAGCCAGCACTTAAACGCCTCTTGCTACCCGTCTACGTGTATCACAGACATTCTGCTCAGCTACAAGCATCCTGAGGTGTCCTTCAGCATGGAGCAGGCAGGCGTGTAACAAGAAGTCAAAAGTAAGTGTCACCCTGGTGAGGGCCAGGCCAGCACTGTGGGCCCAGTTCCAGCTCCCAATCCATCAGGAAATTCATTGTTAGAGATGCTGACAGTGGCACTCTTTCCTACAACCATCACATCTTCCTGCCTTTTCATTAAACACTATGCTAGTTTTGGGATGAGGATGGGGGCATACAAAAGGAATGCTGACTCAGTCCCTTGATTTAAGTATGGAGAAAATACACACGACCCGTCTCATATTGTAGGTAGAGACAGTGAGGTATGACTCCAAAGGACAGAGGTGACCTCTGGCCAACTTACTAAGGAAATGAGGCAGTCTTTAAACTCAGTCCTGAAGGATGAAAACGTCCAGCCATACTTTTCTGGTTTTTTTGTTTTGCTTTGGCAGTACTGGGGTTTGAACTCAGGGCCTCATGCTTGCTGGGCAGATGCTCTACCGCTTGAGCCACTCTACCAGCCATTTTTGTGTTGGGATTGTTTGAGAGTCTCTTGAACTGTTTCTCAGACTGACTTTGAACTCTGATCCTCCTGATCTGTGCCTCCTGAGTATCTAGGATTAGAGGTGTGAGCCACCAGCACCTGGCTCCAGCCATACTTTTTAAGGAACAAGTGGCAGGGTATTCAGACAGGAGGTGTAACCAGAGGCCTGTGGTAGAAAAGGGACGATTGACCAGCTTGGCTGGAGTAATGCAAAGGATGTACAGCTGGTACTCTTGGCACTGTCTCTGGAAAGACAAAAACGACTTAATGCAGGTGCAGCCACCAGGCAAATCCGTATCAGAGCCTCTTAAAGTGTGGCAGGTAAGAGCACATGAGTTGCTTTAAAAAAAAAAAAAAAAATTCAGGACTGGGGTTGTAGCTTGCTGGGTACAGCACTTGCCTGGCATATGCAAGACCCTGGGTTCCATTTCCAGTACCAAAAAAAATGATTTGCCCTTTTTAAACCAATCCTCTGTGTCTGCCTTCCCCTCTCCCCAGACCCATACTGGGGTTTGAACTCAGGGCCTTGTGCTTGCTGGGCAGGCACCCACAGCTTGCCCCGCCATCTCTGTCTGCTGTGTTGCAGGTCTGTGTACAGCTTGGGAAGGAGAAGGCCGACCGTAAACCAACTGTATCTAGCAGCATCGCACCAATCGCCATCGTATTTCTCTCTGCCCAGAATTTCATGGTTCCTTTCCTTGCATTGTGCCCATCAATGGGCTGTGCTGTTATTTTGGGTTCTGAGGGAGGTTTGCCATGTTTGCTTGTATGACCAAGTCACCAAGGAAATAAACAGGAAATCCATTTTCTCTATCTTTCGTGAAAGTGTATTTGGTGTGTTTGAGTTGGTGGTTCCTTTTGTTTTGTTTTTGGGTTTGTGCTTTTTTTTATTCGTTTTTGGTATTTTCTTTTGGAGGTGATTTTTTTTTCCTGCCTTTCTTGATCCTTCTTTCTTTGTCTTTTGTTTCTGTCTTTGTTCATTTTTGAGACAGGAGAGCCAGCAGTTAGGGTTCAGAGGCCAGGGGCCTCAGGGCCTTCCTTCATCAGCAGAGCGCCCTCTCCTCCTTCACATCCCCCTTCCACAAGAGCAAACACTAGAGGATAACATCTCAGGAAGCTCGTGGTGGAGAAAGGGACAGAGCCAGGGCCCAGGGACAATGGTCTCTGGTGGTTGGAGAACAAAAAGAGAGAGAAGAGCCCAAACCTGGAACCCGAGAAGTCTCTACTGCTGGGATTCACTGAAACACACGTGGCTCAGCAAGACTGGATCAAAACTTTAGCACAGAGGCTGGGGTGACCTGGCACCGATGGCTTGCCAGCTAGGAGGTCTCAGCTTGAGTCCCCTTTGGTGTATAACTCAGCTCCCACTCTGTAGTCTGCCCAGTTGGTCACCTCCACCATCTGACTGGTTCTACCATGGACTAAATACCCGACAACCGTGCACTATGCGTTCTGTGTCATCTTTCATTCTCATTTTCTGTCGTGCTATGAAAAGGATTGTTTCTCCGTGTGTGTGTGTGTGCATATGTGTGTATATGTATGCATATGTGTGTGTGTGTGTGTGTGTGTGTGTGTGTTTGTGACTTTCCCTTTCTAACTCTTTGTCACAGGTAAGAAGAATAGGAGGTTGTCTTGGGTTTTGCCTCTCTCTTAACCTCCTCCTCCCCCCTGGGCATCCTCAGCTCCTTACATTTTAATTCTTGATCATGTAGGCATTGTTTTTAGTAGATGTTGATATTATTGTTATTATTAATAAATAAAGACAAAAAGAATTTTTGTTTAAAAGAGAAATGTTTAGACAGATTTTGTTCTATTTGAATTGTGACTTGCACCTTTTGTTCAAAATAATTTCTTTGGCATTGTAAATGTGAGCAGCTCCTACCTGTGCAGTGACAGCTGCAGTGGCCTCCTTTCCCTGCTGAAGCAGTGCATACGCAATAGCTAGTGTTTGCCATTACCTTTCTTTCTCTTCACTGTTAGAAACCAAAGTCTTCTCTGCTGCCTGGGGCTGAGAGAGGATCTGGGCTCTCTCCTTCTGATTGTCAAAAGCAGAGAAAGATGCTACATACTCTGACTCGAACTTTTTTGCTAGGAAAGGAGAGTTAAAGGTCCCCAGCCCCCTCCTAATCTTTCACACTGAATTTGCACAGAAGAAAGTACCTGGGTACCCAGCATGGCATCCTGATGTCGCTGGCAGGGTCCCCACGCAGCTTGACCTTCTCCACTGACACCGGCAGCTTGGCACCTGAGCCCCCTATCCCTTTAGTGGATTTTCGCAGTGCAAGAGCCTTGCTAGGGACTGGTCCCATGTTCCCATGACCCCTATTTGCTCCTCCACTTGGAGGGGTCACCAACTATTCACCAGAAGGGGGCCTACTCACCAAGAAAGTCCAAAAGGCTCTTGCTGACTTCTCTGGGCTCACTCCAACCCTGATGCCCCCAACTTGCCCTGCTGTTCCCACATGCTGGACTGGATCTGATCTGTTCACGGGGTACTGTATTTATGGAAGAGCAGGTGCTGCCCGCCAGCAGCCGCCCGGACGAAAGCCAGGGAGCCTATTAACAGTGCCATCTTGCGAACTCCACTTTTAAAAAAACACCATTGCTTTGTAGTAACCAATATACGCAGTATATGTTGAATGTATACAAATATACTTTCCTATATCTGTCCTTTGAAAATGTCAGAAGTATTTTTTCTTTCTCATTTATGTTGAACTAAAAAAGGATTTAAAAAAAAAAAATCTCCAGACTCAAGTTACTAAGACCTTTTGTCCTTGTTTGTGTGGGGCATTTACAACTTAGTAACTTGGTTGAACAGTAGGAGGTTGTGAAAATAAAAACCTGATTATGTTCTAATGCTGATGTGTTATTTTGTGGTTCAGAGTCTAGCTGGGAGAAGCACCCAGGTGGGTGGGAGCTGGAACACTGGAGTCTGGAGAAGTCTCCCAAGTTCAGGGTGGAGCTTTGAACAGTTATTATCTCACCTTGTCTTCTGAACCCGGCGTTCTCTAGAATCCTAACTCAGCTTCACACCAGCCTGGACTCTAGCCCTCGGGAGGGAGCACCTGTGTTTGCTCCTTGGCAGGTCCCAGGGAAGTAGCATCTTGAAGAGTCAGCCCTGGCTAGAACCTTTGTGGGGTGACCCCAACCAGCTTCATGATGGTGATACCCAAATAAGCAGTGGGACAGAAAGAGGACTTTGCCCATTGTTTCCCCCTTTTGCACATCTGGACTCCAAAGGGCAGGGCCTTGCTGGAAATACCAGGCATAGCTAAGAATTGGTTGAAGGTCCTCTGTGAAGAAAGCTTACTGAACTTGGAAACACTGAGTTTATAGAGAGTAGAGTGAGAGGAAGGAACTTATGAAAGCCTTCGAGCCCATGGGGAATGAGAAAGTAACTGTGGGACTAGTCAGAACAGAAACTACCTTCTCATGCAAGGGGAACTGAGTCTCTGGAACCAAGCTGTGATCACCCCAGCAACTCACAAACACTTTTTGCCACAGGTGCTGCTCCTTTGAAGTCAGCCAGGTGCCTTGGGGCTAGAGGTAGGGTGGGCTCCCAGAGGAAACAGAGCAGCATCTCCTGGATATACACCTGGAGACTTCTGGGCTCTAGAAAATAGAAGCCTTGCTGAGAGATCCTTCCTGATCCTTCTTTCTGACTGCTAGGCCTCATTCTCTATTGACTACACAAATAAGAAACCAGCGGCCGCTGTGCCTCCTACCTGCTGGCCAGAGATGAGCTCTGTACTGCCCTTTGTCTCCTAAGGACCATGCAGAGTTGATGACAGTGCCCTGTCCTGGAGTCTAACTTGGGAGATCTGCACAAGAGCAAAAACAGAATTCTCAAATAAGAAATGCTGGTGGGGTCCTCTCCCCAACTCAGTCAGACCTCCCCAACCCTAGCTCACCCATCCTGACTCACACCACATGTTCTCAGGTGAGCATCTGCGCAGGTCCCACATGAGGGTAATGGTGGAGTTTCTGCATCTCCCCCAAGGTCTGCTCCTTCATATGACCCTTTGCCAGTGCCATTCATCCAGGCCTAGCAAGGACGGAGCCCTCCCCCGTATAGACTGACCAGTACACTGGGACATAAAATTGTGAAATGGGTTGCTAATTGCTGGGCAAATCCACTCCTGCAGCAGCTGCCAGCACTCCCACCTGTTTTAGGGGATGCATGGCCAGTACTTGGTGACCCAGTTCAGAAAAGTAGCTCTTTTCTGAGGGAGAGAGGCTCATCGGAGAGGCTGATGGGCCCTGTATCCACTCAACCCCTGCACACTTCACACCTCGAGCAGTGAGGGGACCCCAAGTCTGATTTTGTTGTTAGTTTTTCCGTAGACCTCTGTCCAGAAAGACTTCCTTTCCAAAATAATAAAGAAGCGTTTGGACTAGTTTAAGCCAAATGTCTTGCACTGGAGTAGAACAGACACTAGTGAATAAGTATATGAAGAAAGTTCCCTGCTCTGTTGCCTTAGAATCCCAGCCAACTGGCCACCATCAAAGAACTAGAAGCCAGACCTGATTGGGCTGCAGTTTTCTTACAGGCAAAATAACAAGGAGAAAGTCTGGCTTCCAGCCTTAAAGCTTAAAGAATATTAGTTAATGTTGAAAGTGCCTGGCCACTAAAGAACTGTGTATATGTTACATGTTAGATTCAGTCATAACTGCAGTAATAAACAGAAGGCTAAACGGTGGCAAATAGCTTAGAGTCGAAGCCTCACAGTTCCTCCCCCCCACCGTGTGCTAGTGGGGATAATACTCCCCCAAACAAGGAGTTCTCTGGGTCTGAGCGCCTGGGAGCTGCCCCTCCCCCCCCACACACAGGGGTCAACTTCTGTCCCTCTCTATAAAACCAGACACCTGGGATGGCCCATGGTAGACCGTCTCTCCGCATAGTCCCATAGACAGCTGAGGCTGGCTCTGGCCTGGAAAAGACGCCTCACACCTCAGCACCTGCACGCAAGGCCACAGAGAGGTGTGGGCCTCCCTGCCTTCCCCTACCTGTGCCACCAAAAGCTGAGGTCATGACTGCAGTCTGGCAGTGTGAGTGTGTTTATACCAATAAGGGAACAGAATCCAGAAACAGATTCTGGGGCACAAGATAGCTACTGTTTACTAGTGCTACTACCTTCTAACAGTTGTGCATACATGTTCAAATTTCATGCTTAAAACAACACAAATTAATTACCTTGTGATTCTAGAGGTCAGAAATCCAAAATGGGTCACAGTAGGCTAACACCATGGCGTCAGCACAGTTGTGTTCCTTCTAGGGACTCTGCTCCTTTGCCTCTTCTAGCCTCTATGGATGGGCTGCCCACAGTTCTTGGCTCGTGGCCCCTCCCAGCACTCACATTGCTCTGACCACTACTTCCATCTTTACATCTTCCTCTCGGACTCTCCTGCCTCCTCTTGCACACTGAAGGACCCTTGTGGTTAAATTGGGCCTCCCTGGATAACCCCAGTTCAAGCCCTTAATCAACTTTGCCATGTAAGGTTAACAGTCATAAATTCCAGGGATTAGGATAAGCACACATGTCTTTTGAGGGCTATTGTTCTGCCTACCACACAGTGACCCCTGTTAGAACTGAGAGATGGGCACCTTCTATCATTATATGTTCGCTTAGCAGATAAGAAACTGAGGTATGCCCAGAGTCACATGGCTAATAAGGGGCAAAGGCAGGATTCAACCCTCAGGCTTTCTGGCTTCAAAGCCTTGGAGACAGACATGAGACAGGCTGGAGCAAGAGAGGCCTGGAGCCCAGCCACAACCTTATTCGGAAGACTCAGACACCAGGCTGGTTTCTAGCGTGTTAGGGAGTTTCCTGGGGAGATGGTTCAGGGATTTCTGCCCTGGGTCCTAAGTCCAGAGACCTGGGTTCTAGGTCCAGCCCTGCCTCTAACAAGGAGAGAGAGATATTGAGCAAATTCCTCATGAGTTAGTTCCTCATCTGGACAGTGGCAAGGTAGGGAGAGGCTAGAGTGGCTGATCTCAAAATTCTTATCCCACCAGGCTTCGAGGGCCTGGGCTTTCCTGGAGAAATCCTACAAGATGGCATTGCCAACACCAACCAACACATGGCGCTTTCCATCTGTAGGCTTTCAGGGGTCAGGAACCTCCAACATCCCTGACTCAGGCCTTGGGCAAGTGCTCTACCATGTGGGCCACTCCCCAGTCCACCCCTGATCATTCTTGAACCCGTTTTACAGATAAAAAACTGAATCAGAGAGATGACATAATTGGCTCCCCATCCCCCTCCAGAAAGGAGGAAATGAAAATCAGGCCACTGGCCACCTTCTAGTCCAGGAGTCCTTTCCCTGTACAGAGGCTCCTAAAAGCTGGTGTCCATTCTCACCTGACTGTGATCAAATGCGCCTGCAATTCTCTGTTTTGCTTCTGAATTTAAGCCTTTTTTTTCCTCTTTTTTTGGTGTTACAAGGTTTTTTGAAGTAAAGTTCGTGGTGGAGGGTGAGGTTGTTTTTGGAGCGGAGGCAAGGGTAATGTCTTCATGTGACAGAATTAAAAGTTGGCCGCAACTCCATGTTGGGCTCTACTGTTTCTTTTGAAATGTCCGTGATGTCTGAAATTTCAGTCTGGGGCCCTGAGCAGCTCTGTGTTCTCCCTAGGGAACTCCCTGGAGTTAACTGGGTTTAGGATTTAGGAGGCCTCTGGGGGTAAAGGGAGACACACTACCCCTTAGGGATCACAGAAGAGATAAGTGTGGGTGGAGGGATGGGGCAGGGGCAGAGACAGGGTGGCGTGTGACAGGATTGACTCTCTGGAATGCAAGAAGGCAGTGGGGGAGCTCTGAGTGAAGGACTCTCAGGTCACCTTCCCACCTCTCCTTGCTCTGGGCACAGGGACAATGGCACCCACACACTCTCCCACGGGGGAGGGGGAGGGGATGAAAGCAGCTGCCGGGGCCCTGGGGACCCCAGGACCCCAGGAGCAACCACTCTCCTCCTGCCCCCACCTGAACCCTTGACCCCTGCCTTGCAGCCCCCACAGCATCCTGTTTGCTTACTCTATTTGCCTGGCCCCAGGGACAGAGCTGATCCTTGAACTCTAGTTCCACATCGCCAGAACCAGTGAGCGAGCAGTGACAGGGCTGGGGCCCAGCTTATCAGCCTTCCAGTCCAGCCCCTGCCTGGAGACATAAATAGGCCAGGGAACAGGTAGACACTCAGAGACTGCTAGAGAGTTCTCGGGAGGTAAGTGCTGCTACCTGCCCTGGACTACTCTGGCTCCCCAGCCCCAGACAGTTGATGCTGGGCTCTGCCCAGGCCTGGGCTCTGGGTACCTGGCACCTTCTATCACTCTAAGCCCCTCCTTCCCTGGCTGGAGTGGTGGGGGAGAGTGCAAAGCTCCTGCACAACTGAGACCCTCTTCAGCTAGGCCCCTTTCCTCCTCCAGGTCATTCACACCTGCAGGATGAAAGCCGTGGTGCTGACCGTGGCTGTGCTCTTCCTAACGGGTAGGTGCCCCAACCTCGGGGCCAACCATTGGGGGACCCATCTCCCTAAGCTGCTGTGGCCCATGCTCCTGGATACCCAGAGCAGAATTTCTTACTAGCTCCCTCTCCCACTCTATACCTGGCATTTCAGCTCAGATCCCAGCCCAGAGCTGGCCTGACCTGGCTCTATCCTCCATCCCCAGGGAGTCAGGCTAGGCATTTCTGGCAGCAAGATGACCCTCAGTCCCCATGGGATCGAGTGAAGGATTTCGCTACCCTGTATGTGGATGCAGTCAAAGACACCGGCAGAGATTATGTGAGCCAGTTTGAATCCTCCGCCTTGGGAAAACAGCTAAAGTAAGGATCCATCCAGCCTGGGACCTGGAGCTGGGGACGGGCTGCTGGTCCCTGGAGCAGAGAGGCCTGTGGGAAGATGCTGTAGTCGGACTAACCCAATCCTTGCCTGTCATTGGAGGAGCTGGGCACCTAGCAGGTCTGGATGGAGAGATAGGGGTGGGAACCCCAGGCAGAAACACCCAGACCAGCGCTGCCAGATCAGTAACCATAGCTCTGCGTTCTGCCTGCAAGTGCAGACCGACCCTTCACCCTGGTGCCAGCTGCCTTCAGAGAGAAGGAACTGGTCCTTCGACACTGAGCACCAACCCAGCTCTGTCTTTCCCTAGATCTTCCGTGCCTTAGGTCATCTGTACAAAGGAGCTTGGCGGGAGGATGGGGTGTTGGATGCAAGGTGTATGGGGAAAACCAGGACCACGTCTACAGGTGTGGGACAGATGATGCCCTGGGCTCACCCCCAGGGTGCCAGGGGGGCCATCCCTCAGCCCCTCTCTCTCCTGCTCCAGCCTGAAACTCCTGGACAACTGGGACACCTTGGGCTCCTCTATCAGCAAGCTGCGTGAACAGCTCGGCCCGGTGACCCAGGAGTTCTGGGATAACCTGGAGAAGGACACAGAGTGGCTGAGGCAGGAAATGAACAAGGACCTGGAGGAGGTGAAGCAAAAGGTGCAGCCCTACCTAGAAGAGTTTCAGAAGAAGTGGCAAGAGGAGGTGGAGCGCTACCGCCAGAAGGTGGAGCCGCTGAGCACGGAGCTGCGCGAGGGCGCGCGCCAGAAGCTGCAGGAGCTGCAAGAGAAGCTGACCCCGCTGGGCGAGGAACTTCGCGACCATGCGCGCACCCACGTGGACGTGCTGCGCACGCAGCTGGCGCCCTACAGTGACAAGATGCGCGAGCGCCTGGCTGAGCGCCTCACTGCGCTCAAGGACAGCGCCAGCTTCGCCGAGTACCACGCCAAGGCCAGCGAGCACCTGAAGACGCTCCGCGAGAAGGCCAAGCCCGCGATCGAAGACCTGGGCCAGGGTCTGCTGCCCGTGCTAGAGAACCTGAAAGCCAGCTTCCTGAGCGCCATCGATGACGCCGCCAAGAAGCTGAGCAGCCAGTGAGGCGCCCGCCACTGCTGCTCCTTCTTTCTTTTGCTTTCTTAGAATAAATGTTTCCAAAGTGGAAAGCGGCTTCTTTCTTTGGGGGAAAGGAGGTGGAGTGTGGGGCGCTGGAGATGACATCCAGTGGGAGCTTTTGGCGCTGCAGCGGAGACCCTCCTGTGGAGCGCAGCATCTCCAAGCCCAGCCTCGGCCTCTGCAGGGTCTTTCTCCACTTTGGAGATCCTGATGGTTAGGAGAGCCCGGAGGGTCCCTGTCCTCCTTTATTTATTCCCAATCTCTTAAGCAGACGCTCCCCCTTTTCTTTGTCACAAGGGCAGGACCTCCTTCTTGTACTCATCCGCCCCCCTCCCCCCAGGCTCATGGCTCTTGTGGCTCCAGCGCTGCCACCCCTCTTCCTGCCAGTTCTGCTGGTGTGAGAGACAGAACCACCACCTCTTGCAGGAAATTAGCACCCTTTTATTTCCAAGATGCCTTTATATCCATCCCCTACCCCAACGCACCTTCCTCCAAATCCTCAGTGGATTGCCATTAAATCCATGTCACCGGGGGTGAAGCTGGTGTGAAAATCGCTGAATGAGTGAAAGGCAGGATGGGCTTTTTTAGACCGGTCTGCTCATGGACAGCCATGATTTTTTTTTTTTAATTTTTTTTAGTATAACTGGGGTTAGACCTTAGGGCTTTGCACTTGCTAGGCAGGTACTCTACCACTATGAGCCACACACCCAGCCCTTTTTTTTGCTTTAGTTATTTTCCAGATAGTGGCTTGTGGTTTTTGTCCCAGCTGGCATCAGACTGCAACCCTACCTATCTCTTGTAGCTGGGATCACAGGAGCACACCACCTGAGAGATGGAGTCTAACTTATTGCCAGGGCTGGCCTTAAACAGTGATCCTCCAGAGTAGCTGGGATCAACAGGCATGAGCCACCATATCCAGCCCCGTGATTGTTTTTTGAAGAAGTGGAGGACCAGGCTCTCAAGTTCCTGTGGATGTGCGTGCATGCATGTACATGTGCATCCCAGCTCACAGCTGGTTCATCTTCATACTCATGTCTGTGTGTTCCCTTGTACACACACGTGTCTTCATACACCTGGGCAGAGCATCCCTGGGGCACCCTTCCCCATCCCCTGCAGGGCCTCTTGCCCCGTGACGGGCCTCTGGATACTGCTCCCTCTCTCTCTCCAGTGTACCTTCATGACCTCTTGGGTGAACAAATGGGCTTTTTACCTCCTAATCATTGAGAGCTACAACAGGTATTAAGCAAATCTGGGTGGGAACATTCCCAAGTGTGACCACTGACACCCCTGGCTCTAATTGAACAGGAGGAGAAGCCCAGGTGGGATTCAGAGAGAAAGCAGTCTCCAGGTGGAGCTGGCTGCTCCAATGCCACAAGATCTGGAAGGAGCCCCCAACACCTGGTAGAGGAGCAACTGAGCAGAAAATGGACAGCTGACCTGGGCTTGAGGTCTGGCCCTGCCATTTGCTGGCTTGTGACATGGGACAAGTGCCATCACCTCTCTGAGCCTCAGTCAGACTTTTCATCTGTAGAGTGGGAGGTTGCTCTGTGGTCCTGGAACTCTCTGATGTGAGCTGGATGGTGGAGACACAAAATAGCCCTAGGGTGACCTTGCATTTCTTCTTGGTTCCCAGGGCGCTGGGCCCCCATTCCAAAGCCCGGGTCCTAAGAAGACTATCAGTTCAGCTATACCAAAGACAACCAGATGTCTTTGATGTGCAGCTGCTCTGCCAAATGCGTTTAAACTCTGTGTCATTTCATTCTCAAAACAAACCCACAGCAAAGGGGCCATTACAGCAACCGCCTTGCAGGAAGGAAACTGAGGCAGATGTGAAGTGGTGGAGCCAAGATGAGGCTTCATTGTATCTTCCCTCTACCCCCACTCTTTCCCTCAAGTGAATCTAAGGGGGCCAGGTGGTGGCCCAAGTAATGCAATCCAACTGCACAACTTTTTTTTTTTTTTTTTGGCAGTACTGGAGTTTGAACTCAGGGCCTCACGCCTGCTAGTACCACTTGAGCCACTCCGCCAGCCCTTTTTTGGCGTTGGGTATTTTCAAGATAGGGTCTCATGAACTATTTGCCTGGGTTGGCTTCAAACTGTGATCCTCCTGAACTCTAAGATTATAGGTATGAGCCACTGGTGCCCAGCCCAACTGTACAACTTTGATGAGCACAAACAATCTGAATTCAACTCTAAAAGTGCCAGCCTAGCATAGAGCACACACTCAAGACGTGATATAGCACTTGACAATTTATCACAAATCTGTTTGTCATCAAATGTATTATCCCGTTTAATTTTCCACACAAACCTGTCAAGGCAGGCAGGATACAGAGTCATTCCTACCTTACAAGCCCAGAGGATACCCAACTACTAAGAGGTGGGTGGGGGGAGGTCCCCAAGTCCACCCACAAAACCAGCCTGGCTCATTCCCCTACTCAAACATACATGGCACACGTGGGACACCCACTCATGGCAGCTTCTCATGCAGCTTTATTGGGAGGTGGCATGCCTGGAGGTGGGGGTGGGGGGTGGGAGGGCACTGAGAACACTGTCCCTTTCAAGCTTTCAAGCTACCTCAAGGGGGCAGCCCTGCAGGCTGCAGAACCCAAGGAGCTGGCAGGACGGATGGATTTGGAGCGTGGCAATCTCAGACGACCTCAGAAGCCAGAGTTGGTTGGGCCTCAGGGGTGGAATCCCAGAGCCCAGAGAACTTGTCCGTCAATGTGGTCCAGTAGCCTTTCAGGGAACTGAGGCCGCCATCCACCCAGCCCCTGAGAGTCAAATCAGGAAGTGACAAGGGGACATGAGAGCTCATCTGAGGTACTAGGACCCACATCCTGATCACTGGCTTTCCTGGCCACCCCTAACATCATTCACCAAAGTCCCTGGACCCTCAGACAGGAACCACCTATAGCTGCCACCCCAGCAGGAGAGATGTGAAGGTGCTGAAGAGACCAACCCAAGTCTAACCCCATACTTCTCCTGGTTGGCTCAAACCTCCTGCTGACCTCCCCACCCCCACCCTCAACACTAAGGCACAAAGTGATGGTAAGGGCGGCAGGGCTGCCATTGCAGTCCATGCAAATGGCGTCCCTTGGAGCTGTACAGGCCCCACTCAGAGCAAGGCACAGCCCTCCCAGCACCCCAGGCAAGGTGGGGCTCCACACTCCAGCTATGGAGCTGAAGATCCTGCCTCAGGACTGAACTGAGAGAAGGGAGGGAAACCGAGACAGGACGTCCCACCTCTGTCATCTCCCAGGGCTGCCCTGCAAAGGCCCTGTGAGGGGCTGGAAGCTCAGAGAGGCCCAGGCCCTGGCTAGGCTGGGGGGAGCCACAGTCTTACCAGCAGAGATCTCCCTGAGGCAAGGACAGGTAGGCATTGAGCAAGCTGGCACAAAGACAGGAAGAGAGGGCAAGTGGGCATACCTGGCCTGCTGGGCCAGTGGATGCTCCTGCATACTGGTCATTGCATCCTGGGCCCTCTTGGTGGCGTGGCTCATGTAGTCCTGCATGAAGCCAAACAAGGAGGCCTCCTCTGCCTCCTTAGCTCCTGCCGGAGAGCAGGGTTGAGAGGGATGGATCAGCTTCCAGAGCCAGCCCTGGGCTCCCACCTGGCCACCAACCATCAGGGCACAAGATCCCATGTCACCTCCCACACTGCCCCCAGCCCAGTCCCCACAAAGTGCTTACGGGCAGAGGCCAGGAGCACCAGGAGGGTCACAACAAGGAGCACCCGGGGCTGCATGGTGCCTCCAATCCTGCAGGGAAGTGTCCTGTGAGGGGCACCCCAAAATCCCTCACGTCTGAACCCTACCTGGAGAATGGTGTGGCCCCTGAAGTGGGGCCTGAGCTGGCTGACAGGAGGAGAAGGGGCCTGCCCCTGCTAACACAGTTCTCAGGGGACTCAGGGAGCCCCAGATGAGAGGCAGCAGAAACCCCGACAGGATGGAAATGGAGACACCTGCAGCCTGGCCAGTTCTCTGCACCCATTGCCGAGTGACTGGCCCTCTCCAGGCCTCTGTTTTCCTGTCTTGGGTAAGACTGGGGTGTCAAAGCCTTCCAGCCCTAAGCATGCAAAGTGCAGGACAATGTGCAGCCTGGGAGCCGGGCAATTCCAGCTCTGCCAGCACCCTGCATGTGGCTTTAGGCTAGTACCTCCCCTTCCTGGGCCTCTGTTTTCCCCAGGGCATCATCAGGGTAGGGGGACACTGGAGGCTTCCTTGGCTCTGGCAGGCTCTTCTCCAGGCTTGCTGGTTGGATGGGGGAAGCCTCCTCTAAACCTCTGTCCCCTCTGTTGCTGACTCCCTTCCCAGGGACATTACCTGGAGTAGCTGCTTCTAGGGATGAACTGAGTAGGCAAGCAAGAGGGTTCTGACGTGTTTTATATTGTCCCTAGGACAGGACAGCGGGCACAAAGGGGCCAGAGAGCTGGGCAAAGGTCATGTGCTGAGCAGTGGAGCCCAGGGCCGGAGGCAGGGAGGCCCATGCAGCCAGATGCCAGAGAGTTGGGAAATCCCTGCAGACTGCCCCCATACCGCTCACCTGCCACCCTGCAGCCAGGATGGCTGAGCCAGGTCCACCCCATCCCTTTAGACTGGCTTCCTGGGGTGAGCCTAGTGAGAAGGAAGAGGGCTTGGGAGACAAGCCACAAGCCTGGGGGATATCTCAGCCCTGCACACTTGAGTTTTCAAGCCCCATCCCAAACCCTGAAGACAGCCTGGAGGAGGTGATAGGTGGTGACAGGCTTCTTCAGACTTGAGAGCTAATCAGGGGGCTGGGCTGGGGGTGCAGCAGGTGAAGGCATAGAAGAGCAGGGGGCAGAGCTTGTGTAGGAGGTGGCACAACCCCCTAACACCTTCCACCTTGACCTGCATCCCATGGCTGTACTACTCCCAGCAGCCTCCAAGGCTGAGCCAGGGAGCAGGGGTTGGTTGGAGAAGGGCAAAGGCCGAGCTAAGCCCAAGACCTTTGTCCCTCCCCTCCTCCCTGTGTCTCACTTTGCCCTCTGGACCCACTGATAACATCCTGGGCAGGAGCTGGTCTCATGGTTGGGACTGATCCTCTCCCACTGGCCTTGGGCTCCTTAGTTCTGAAATCCCAGCCCTTGCGAAGTTCTCCCCATGCAAGGAGTGGTGAGAACAGTCATAAGGAGGCGAGGGCACAGAGGAGCCCCAAGGGTCACTCAGCTGCCCAAAAGGGGCCAGCTAGCTCCTTAGGGCTAAAATGTCCCCCAGTTGGCCCTGAGAGCCACAGCTAAGATTCTGGATGTGAGGACTTTGTAGTCAAGGAATCCTAGGCTTATTTATTATTTGTTTATGTATGATGATATAGGATTTGAACTCAGGCTTCCCATTTGCTAGGCAAGCATTCTACCACTTGAGCCACTCATCCAGCCCTGACATCCTAGGATTAAATGTTCCTTTTGGCACTGACTTCTGTGACCCATGGCCAGAGGTCTAACACCTACCTAACAGCCTCAATTTTCTCCTCTACTAATGGGGACAGAGTACTAACTTCCCAGAGTGTGAGATACTGCATATACAAAGCAGCTGGTCCGTGTAGGGGCTCACACATCTTTCTCTATCCCGCCCAAACATTGGGTCCTTCCCCAGGCAGCCTACTCTGAAGGCAGAAGGAGCCATGAGGGTAGAATTGGGCTTTGGATGGACAGTTGTCCTCTCAGGAGAATGTACCCAGCACCACATGTGAAATCAGAGACCTAAGAAAGTGGCCTGGCCCTTTCTTTACAGCTAAAACTTCAAATTCCTGTATTAGAGACTCACTCCTTTGACTCAAAACTGTTTTCTGAGCTGGGCATAGTAATCTCAGCACTCAGGCAGCTGAGATAGGAGTTCGAGGCCAGCCTGGGCTGCATATGGAGCTCCTGTTTCAAGACCCTGTCTAAAAAACACGAAAGGCTTTGTTTTCTGTTAAAATGCAAGTTGTCAGAATCCTGTCACTTAGACACTGTTAACTACATTTTATAGGAAAGAAACATAAGGCCCAAAGGGTTAGAGATCCACCCACATGCGCACAGTCCTGCAGTGGTGGCCTGGGAAGCAGAGGCGGATCTTCAAATATCCAGACTGGTCCAGACAGCCTGAGAGATTTAGCTGTCACCTATGCCTCAGACAAATCTGCTTCAGCTCACTTTCTGAGAGCACATTCCCTGAGACTGGACCTATCTTTTCCACACTGCCTCCAGCCTGGACCTCAGTGAGCCTCTTAGTGGTCAACCTAAGCTTGCTATCCCTCCCACACTGCTCCCCTGGGAAGAGCAGACTGCTCTTGGCCGCAGACCCAGGATGGGGAGGAGAAGCAGTGGGTGGAGAAAAGAAGGGGCTCCACCAGCTGGGGCTGAGACTGGCCTCTAGGGTGAGCTGGTTGAGCCAGGGTCAGTTGAGTACCTGAGTCCCTGGGGACCCAGGTTCCAGCCACTGGGTGGGGTGGGGCACCCTATTCAGCCCCGCCAGTCTGAAGCCCTTCGCCACACTTCTCCATGCTGGAGGCTCCTCTTTGCACCCCACCCAGGTCCTTCCTATGACAACACAGGCTATCATCCCCTCGTGCTGACCTGAAAGGAATGCTGGCATGAAATAGACATGGGCTCATATCTCTGTGACTTGTTGGGCCTGTCGCTGGTTGGCCTGAGCTGTCTGCTTCTGCCTTTGAGCACGGAGCTGATCCCTGCTTCTGTCCCTGTATGTAGACAGGAGGGTTGCTGGAGATGATGCCCAACTATCAGCCTCACCAGCCATGAGGGCTGTGTGAGCACAGAGACTGATGCTTAGAGAGGGACATGATTGCCAAGATCACACAGTGCTTGGTGCTTGATATCCCCTGACTCGAAGGCCTGGCTGGAAGGCTGTCTACTCTTTCCATCAGCAGTGTGTGCATGAGGCTGTCATTCTTGCCTCCATCTCCAACACAAATCATCTGTAAATGGATACAGAGCATGCCCCAGAGTTGGAGGTAAATATGTGCAGTCACGGCGTCACATCCATGCCACACCAGGAGGCAGCAACCCTCCCACAGGTGTGAGTGCCAGTGTGCATAGAGCCTGAGCCCATGGACAGCTCAGACATTAGCACACATCTGTGAATCTTTCACACTCTGTCTGCTCCTGGATAGCTCAGGTGGCACAGGCCCCCCAGTGTGGGCACACCTGGGCAAGTGGGAGCGACAGGTGTACCTCCACTTGTCCCACATAGATAACACTGCTGCTCAGACTTCAAGTCTGGGAGGTCAAGCAGCAGCTGAAGTGTCCTTCATGACTCATTCCCACCTCAGCTCTGGCTCAGAGGGGAGGAATGGCACTAAGTGGTACCTTTGCACCTATCCCAAATGGATTGTGCCTGATTTGGCAGCAAGATGGCTACCAATGAATGGGTTGATGTGACAGGAAGAGGAACTTCTAAGGGGTAAAACATGGCTCACATTCACTGAGCTGTGTATGCTTTACATGGATTACCTACTGAATTTTCACAGCCTGGCAGCTGAGGCTCAGAGAGGTGTGAGGCTTCCCCAAGGCCACACAGACAATACTAGGTAGAGCCCAGATGCAAATCCAAGGAGTTGGACTCCGAGAAAGAATTCAAAACTATTGAGACTGTGTGGGCTGCTCCAGGAAGGAGTGAGAATGAGTCCTGGACACTAGAAGGCAGATTGTGGTCCAATGCTAGCCCCAGACAAAAACTCGAAACCCTACCTGAAAAAATAAAATAAAATACATACAAAAAGAAAACAAGGAAGAAAAAAATCTATCTGAAAAATAAGTACAGCTGAAAGGGCATGGGGCATGACTCAAGTGGTAGAGTAACTGCTTAGCAAGCATGAGGCTCTGCATTTAAACTTCAGTACTGGAAAAAAAAAAAGACACCACGAAGACATGGCAAATCAGACTTGGCCCAACTGTGGTCTCTGATGGCTCTCATTTTACAAATAACTGGAGCCCACGGACCTGTCTAGCACTGCACATACAGATAGCAGCCATAGCATCCAATAGAGCCTATGATGGCTGTTGTCACATAGTCACTGGGGATGTGGTGCAACAGAGGACCCAAGCTGACCACAGAGTGCCAGCTTCTCAGTGAACGTCTTTCTGTGATTGTGCATGCAATCTCATTTGGAGATAAGACCCCCCCACCCCAGAAGGACTGGTGAGAAGGTCCTCAGCCCTAGGGTGCCTCCACTCTGTGCCGCTCCTGCCTGCGTGGCTGGGGTGGAGGGTGCAGCAGTCAAGTTGTCAGGCTGGTCCCATTCTGTCACCCTGCCTTCAGCCCACAGAGTGACCCTCTGAGGGTAGGGTCTCCATCTTCTATGTTCTCTGGAAGGGTGGTCCTCTAATGTACTTCCAGCTTTGGTCTAAATCAGAAAAACAATGACTAGTTTTCAGCACTGTGTGTGCCAAGCCCTGTGCCACCCACTTCACAAGCACCATCTTATTTAATGTACAAAAAACCCCATTGTTTGAAGGAGACACTGAAGCTTAGGGTTTGGATAACTAGATGAAGGTGACACGACTTGGCAGTGATGGGACATGAAGCACACTTACAATTAACCCCTGTCTGGGTTGGTGGCAGCTGTGGGGGCTGGGGCTGTCTCCACTGAGGCAGACAAAGGAGGATACCTGGACCTTGTTCCTCCAGCCTCCAGCCTGGCACAAACCCAGAACTGCCAGCAGGGCCCCTAGGACATCAGTCCTGGCTGAGGGGCTCCCCTAGGGCCCCTAGGCCTTGTTTCTTCTGCAGCTCTGGCTCCCTCCCCCCGCCTACCCCCCCCCGCCAGGGTGGGGCCTGGCTGCTTTCCACTGCAGCCTGAGTCCCAGGCTGCTGTCAGCTTCCACGTAGTCTTAGGGTCACTAAAGTCCAAGAGGCCTCCTGGGAATGTGTCACCTTCCAGCGTGGAGTCACACTTGGGGAGGAGGCGGAGAGGGCAGGCTGGAAGAGCTTTAAATATGTGGCTGGCTCTGTCCTCCAGTCAGTTCGCACAGCGACACAGGTGAACTGCCCAAGAACCTCTCCTGTGGCTACCTCTGCTTCCAGGAAGGATTTGGTGTAGCCTGAGACATCCCCCCAGGATGTTCCCAAAGGCTGTGGTGCTGACCCTGGCCCTGGTGGCTGTCACCGGTGAGTAGAAGCTGTCTTTGGATGGGGCTCTCAGGCTGCTGCAAGTAGAGCAGGGAGGAGAGGCCAGGCCAAGGCCAGAGGACAGTTCTGGGTGCCTATCAGCTCCGAGCCATGGGGGCTGCCCAATTGCCCCTGTTCCACAGGAGAGCAGGTCCATGCCTGTTGACAGGCAGGCCTACTGTCATTTATGCTCCCAAGCTAAGCACAGAGTGGGATGGCGGGTTGGGCTCTCCCATCACCCAGTCTATACTGAGAGCTGGTACAGAGGAGGCAGGTTCTCATTAACTGCCTTCTGTTCTCTGCCCAGGTGCCGGGCCGAGGTCATTGCTGACCAGGTGGCCACTGTGATGTGGGACTACTTCAACCAGCTGAGCAACAACGCCAAGGAGGCTGTGGAACAACTCCAGAAGTCAGAACTCACCCAGCAGTTCAAGTAAGGGGGGGCCCCGACCTGCAGGGCTTCTCGAAGGCCATGCAGGGGCTGGCAAAGGCTGAGCTTAGAGGCAGGACACCAGTGTGTGGGATGCTCACTGCCCTGCCACTGCCCCTCGGGGGAAGCCTGGGGTCTCTGGACCCAGTATCCACTGATGGAAACAGAGAAACTGGACAGAATGACCCCAAAAGTGCCTTGATGCCTTTACGTTCCAGAGTTTGACAAATGGCCACATGCTGTGGCCACATGGAGGAAAGGGAAAGAGGGAAAAGTCACCGTGAGTGGCTTCCAGAATCACAGGCCACTCATGAAATTGGAGAAAGGGAGGTGGGGATGTTCAGGAAGCTTCTTAACACAGGCAAAGAAATCTGCCCCTTGCGCTTTTAGAAGACACTGGCAGAGGTTGAGAACATTCTAGCACACAATGTGATCTGCATGCCTGGGTTGGAAGGGATGTCAAAGTCCAGTCCTCTACTTCACAGACAAGGAGGGGAAAGCAAAGGAAGTTATGTGATGGTAGATAAGGACATACAAGTGCAGCGGAAGGCCAAAGATAGAAATCCAAAGTAATAACAGTTGGTTAAATCTTTTTCTCCTGTCATGACCCACCCTGGAGAGGGCCAGAGGGAAAAGATGGGTGGACTTAAAACCCCTGAACAGTCACCTGTCCCAGGCAAGTGCCTATACAAGTGGACACGGTCCTCCTGTGTAATGCCAAATGTAATTGTGGCCCTCTTGTGCCTTTTCCCTGCAGCACCCTCTTTCAGGACAAACTTGGGGACATGAGCACATATGCGGGTGACTTGCAGAAGAAGCTGGTGCCCTTTGCCACGGAGCTGCATGAACGCCTGACCAAGGACTCTGAGAAGGTGAAGGAGGAAATTCAAAAGGAGCTGGAGGACCTGCGAGCCCGCCTGCTGCCCCACTCCGACACGGTAAGCGAGAAGATCGGGGACAAAGTCCGAGAGATGCAGCAGCGCCTGGGGCCCTACGCGCAGGAGCTGCACAGCCAGGTCAACTCACAGGCAGAGGAACTGCGGCGCCAGCTGACACACTACTTGCAGGGCATGCAGACCGTGCTGCGGGAGAACGTGGACAACTTGCAGGCCTCGCTGCTACCCTACGTCAATGAGTTCAAGACCAAGATTGACCGGAACGTGGAGGAGCTCAAGGGGCGCGTCATGCCCGGTGCCAACGAGCTCAAGGCCAAGATCGATCAGAACGTGGAGGAACTGCGCGGCAGCCTGGCCCCCTATGCACAGGACGTGCAGGAAAAGCTCAACCACCAGCTGGAGGGTCTGGCCTTCGAGATGAAGAAGAATGCCGAGGAGCTGCAGGCCAAGATCTCTGCCGGTGCGGAGGAGTTCCGGCAGAAGATGACGCCCCTGGTGGAGGATGTGCACAGCCAGCTGAGGGGGAACACAGAGGGACTGCAGAAGTCGCTGGCGGAGCTGAGCAGCCATCTGGACAGGCAGGTGGAGGAGTTCCGGAGCAAGATGGAGCCCTATGGGGAGACTTTCAACAAAGCTTTGGCGCAGCAGATGGAGCAATTCAGGCAGAAGGTGGGCCCCTATGCGGGGGACATGGAAGGCCACTTGAGCTTCCTGGAGAAGGACATGAGAGACAGGATCAACTCCTTCTTCATCTCCCTGAAGGAGAGCCAGGAGAAGCCAGTGGCCCTCCCACTCCCCGAGCAGGAGCAGGAGCAGGAGCAGGTGCAGGTGGAGCCAGCCCCCCTGGAGAGCTGAGCTGGCCTTGGTGCCCTCACCCCACTACCAGGGCAGACACATGCCTTGACCTGCCACCTGTCTGTCTGTCTGTCCCCCCCACCACAGATGCCTCCCCTGTCCTGCCACATGTCTATCCATTAGTCCCTAAGCACTTCTTGTATGAGCTTGAGGACACCTGCCCTGCCCTGCCACCTGACTGTCCATCTGTCCCCACCACCACAGACACCTGCCCTGCCCTGTCACCTGTCTGTTGGTCTGTCTCTAAGCACTTCTTGTATGAGCTTAAGGACACTTGCCCAGTGGGAGGTGACGTCCCCTCTCACACCTCAATAAAGTTGCTGAGAAACTAGCCCTGTCTGGTTGCCATGGGACTCCTGGTGGCTGGCCTGAGGTGGGGAGGAGAGCTAGTTCGTCAGTGTCTGGCAGCAGACGCTGGAGGTCACCTAGGGCTGGAGCAATGAGACTAGAGAAGGAGCAAGGGCTGGTGTGCTGGAGAGGGGTGTGTGGGGAGTGCTCTAAGGGAAAGTGAAAAGGATGTCACACATCATCCAAAGACAAGCTCTACATCCTACAGACAGTCATTTGGCCAACAACTAGGTTTTGTGTGCCATCAGTGAGCCAGTTATGGTTCTGGGCACCAAACATTGAACAAATAGCTTTGTGGAGCTATGTGACTAACACTGGGTTTCATGCTGAGAGGGACCCCTGGAGGCAAACAGGACATAACCCCTGGCCTTGGAGAACGCACCTTGTATATAACACCCACATCTTTGAATCTATTTATGTGAAGTTTAGTTTAACCCAGTTCCCGTGCCCACATTCTAACAGTGATTCATGCTGATTTGAGAAGTGACTAAACTCATGGTCTCCAGAGTTGAGGAATGAGGCCTAGGGATGTAGAGAATCTGGGGAACAGGGGTGGAACTGGTGCCAGAGCCTGCAGAGCTCTGGGATGCTCTTCTCAAGAGCCTCCTGCCAAGTGGCCTGCCTGTCTGGGGCAGAGGGTGCATCCTGGGGTAAGGGACAGGGAACTCAGGAGGCAGAATGATCTTGTCACCATGGTCAGCTATGGGCAACTGCAACCTCTGGAATGGATTCTCCCCCACCCTTGGAGTTGCACAGAGGTCCCATGGAAAGAGCCTCAGAGCTGAGCAAGTCCAAGCCTCCCTCTAAAGGCTCAGCATCTTGGCTGTTAACCTCTGGTCTGGGTCTGTGAGTCATCCCTGTCCTCCCCAGAGTGAGGGACAGGCTTTTCAGGGCCCTCCTGGAAGAGGCCCAGAACAAGCTGTGGGGAAGACCCCTGGGAGGTGTTCTGAGGCCCATTCTCTCCCTCCCAAGTGCTCTCAGGGTGGCAGTCACACAGGCTCCCTCCCCTGTACAGTGGGGGGAGTCAGGGAAGTCAGCAGGAGCACCTGCCTGTTGAGAGGGACGTCTGTTTGGGAATCACCTGGGTCAGAATCCTTGCTTTTCAGCTGATGACTGAGTGATTTGGGGAGCACCAGGCCCTTAGCACATTAGGTGCAGAGTAAATGAGCAATAGCTGGTTTATATCTTGCTGCTGTGGCATAATAGACACCCAGCAGAAGTGATCAGCTCCCACTCACCTTCTCATTCCCTGACTCCAAGCCACACATTCAAACATGAGCCCACCAGGGCTGGCCAAGGGCGAACCACCCGGGTCTCTCTGGCCCCAGATGCCCTCACTCCTACAAGTCAGTAAAGCTACTTCAGCCACCTCCACTCCTTAGGGCAGGAAGCTACTCGTGAGGCCACCTTGATAAGCCTCTAGCACCCTGAGGTTTACTGACTGACTTTTGGAGTGGGTACACAATGAATGCAGCAAGGCACTGAAAGAAACTGGGACAGGGGCTAAGCGACTTTCTAAGCAGGTCTGGAAACTTTGAAGGTGCTCTCAGATCTCAGCTAAGGGCCCCTGGTTGAGTGCTGCCTCCAGGACCCCAGAAACTTCAGTGTTTGCCAGACCCAGGTTGTCAGTATGAATCCTGGGTAGGACTCTTGGATCTTTCTCATTGCCCCCAGGACTGTCCCGTGTGTTTATTTATTTATTATTATTCATATGTGCATACAAGGCTTGGTTCATTTCTCCCCCCTGCCCCCACCCCCTCCCTTACCACCCACTCCACCCCCTACCGCTCCCCCCCCCAATACCCAGCAGAAACTATTTTGCCCTCATCTCTAATTTTGTTGTAGAGAGAGTATAAGCAATAATAGGAAGGAACAAGGGGTTTTGCTGGTTGAGATAAGGATAGCTATACAGGGCATTGACTCACATTGATTTCCTGTGCGTGGGTGTTACCTTCTAGGTTAATTCTTTTTGATCTAACCTTTTCTCTAGTACCTGTTCCCCTTTTCCTATTGGCCTCAGTTGCTTTAAGGTATCTGCTTTAGTTTCTCTGCGTTAAGGGCAACAAATGCTAGCTAGTGTTTTAGGTGTCTTACCTATCCTCACCCCTCCCTTGTGTGCTCTCGCTTTTTCATGTGCTCATAGTCCACTCCCTTGTTGTGTTTGCCCTTGATCTAATGTCCACATATGAGGGAGAACATACGATTTTTGGTTTTTTGAGCCAGGCTAACCTCACTCAGAATGATGTTCTCCAATTCCATCCATTTACCAGTGAATGATAACATTTCGTTCTTCTTCATGGCTGCATAAAATTCCATTGTGTATAGATACCACATTTTCTTTTTTTTTTTTTTTTCATTTTTCTTTTATTATTCATATGTGCATACAAGGCTTGGTTCATTTCTCCCCCCTGCCCACCCCTCCTTACCACCCAATCCACCCCTCCCGCTCCCCCCTCAATACCCAGCAGAAACTATTTTGCCCTTATCTCTAATTTTGTTGTAGAGAGAGTATAAGCAATAATAGGAAGGAACAAGGGGTTTTGCTGGTTGAGATAAGGATAGCTATACAGGGCATTGACTCACATTGATTTCCTGTGTGTGTGTGTTACCTTCTAGGTTAATTCTTTTTGATCTAACCTTTTCTCTAGTTCCTGGTCCCCTTTTCCTATTGGCCTCAGTTGCTTTAAGGTATCTGTTTTAGTTTCTCTGCGTTAAGGGCAACAAATGCTAGCTAGTTTTTTAGGTGTCTTACCTATCCTCACCCCTCCCTTGTGTGCTCTCACTTTTATCATGTGCTCATAGTCCAATCCCCTTGTTGTGTTTGCCCTTGATCTAATGTCCACATATGAGGGAGAACATACGATTTTTGGTTTTT